GTCGGGGCCTGGTTGTGCTCCGGCCGGCGTTGAGGCGTCTTCTAATTAATATTCATAAACTTTTGGTCCCCTTGGCGGCCGGTTTCTGTCAGGGACCCGTCCGGTGCCTGGCCAGTCTCCCGTCTTGACCCGTGCGGGGTGTGGTAGGGTGTCGACCGGCTCTTAAGTTCGGCCGGGCAGCTACCAAGTCCCTGGCGGCGTCCAGGGGGGATCCCGACGGGTTCCTGTCGTGTACGGACACTGATGTCGGAGCTTTAATTTTGTCGCGAACATCATTGCGACTTTAAGTCCTTCCTTCCTGCGAATGGAACCACTGAAGTTTCACGACCTCCAACAACGTGTAGGCCCATATATCGAGAAAAGTCTAGAGCAAGTGCTTTTTTGTGAATGCCCTCTACTTCTTGACACATTTCAATGTATTCATAATGATTTATAATAACAGCAAATTTAGATGATATTACAGTCCAGTCAGTATGTAACACTTCTGTTTAATTCTATCCAGTGCCAGACAGCCCTTGCCAGCAGGCCTAAAACTCGCCATTACACTACGATTTCTGGCGACCGGGAACAGCTACCGATCCTTGGAGTTTGCCTTCAGGGTAACCAACATGCAACACACTATCACTATTCATTCCTGAAGTACATGTATGCCGGGCCATCGTCTCGGCTGTTTTCCCTTGTCCTTCGGCATTCCGACACACAACTGCACGGTGTAACACTGTGTGTAACACACGCGTGGTGAACTGTGCAACGTAGTCTGAACTATAAGTTTACATATGTCCCATATAACCCATTTTCCTTACCACCTAATGCACTGATCAGCACAGGTGACGTCATAATATTAGGCAGGTGCCTGTTCGGCCGCCCGACGGGTCCCGGGCAGTGAGGTTACGGCGTCGCTTCGGTGTACCTTGCCGAACGGGGCCCGAAGTGATTTTAAGTTTGCATGAAGTGACGTGTCCGCTCTTCACGGACAGATTTTCCACTCAGCTCATTCTCAGCTAACGTAGCTTTTTTCGTTGTGCGGAGCGGTCTTATCCTCGTGTCACGTGGTCGGACTGAATAAAACAATTTTCAATCCAGCAGAATCAACAACAACAAGGAGTCAAGCGCCGATCAGAGACATGAATTTCTCAAACGAATCTTTCCCGACCAACGCGTCCGCGCCGGCACCGCTGTCGTCTCTCGCTGAGCCCGGCTTCATTGCCACCGTAGCTGCGCTGGCGATCCTCGGGTTATATATTAGAAACAAAAAGATTCTTACTGTATGTGTCTTCTGGGATGGGAGGTTTGTTACTCACGCGGTCTTATGTATTTTTAAATGTCTTGTGAAATATTTTTCCTTCATTGTAAAAGTGACTGCGAGAATATAAGTTGTACCTAACTTGAGTTCGCAGTCACTTAGTCCATGTCTTTTCATTTGTAATCATCGTGTTTCTGAATAAAAAAAACAAACCAAAAAACAATATTGTCGATGGGGCCGGGGTAATGAGGTCTCTGGGTCGAACAACATACCCAGCAATGATCTGCCGTAAGCAATGTACCCTTGGAAATGTAACCTTTACAGAGCTATTAGACGTATAATGAATGAAAGACCTTTATTGTACGCTTGTGCTCTAACGAGCTAAGTACAGGTCATGGGTAGACAGTAATGACACTTACATACTATATAACCTAATGCGATCTACTATTTACAGGTTCAGCTTCTTCTCGCTTCTTTACGCAGTTAAAGATGTATGAACATATTGAGCTAATTATACATGGTTTGTCAAGTTTCATGAGGAATTCGAATTTTTCTATTCTATCTAAATGTCTAAAGCTTGGGAACTTATCTATTACATAAGTATAGAGGAAATCCCTCTCATTTCTATATAATGTGCAGTCAGCTACAAAATGGCATTCATCTTCAATATAATCTAGATTACAAAATTGGCAGATCCTTTGCTGTAGAGGAATGTGGTTGTGTCTTCCCTTTTCTATGTGGAGTTTGTGTGAACTTATCCGGAGTTTTGTGATGGCTGTTCTGTGTCGAATGTTTGTAATTCTCAGATATTTTTCCTCGTGGTAAGTATTTTTTAGTAATCTATATGTTCGTAATTTGTTGTTGTTACGAATTTCTGCTGTAAAAGTTTGGAAATACATGTCTTTTAAACGTTGATCAAGGGATGGAATAATTTGTGAAGAATTTAAGACACACGACATCGGCGAATTCCATACATAGGCAAAACCACACTCCTCTAGCGTCTTGCGGACTCCCGAAGCCCAGCATTTAGCGCCGGATGCATCCAGTTCAAGTTGACATAATAGAGCGTCTGCTGAGAGACTATCAACCGGCACGTTCTGGCGTATTCTGATATAGTGTTTAATGGCGTTCAGAGATGCTTCTAGTTTGAGGGGATAACGTCCCAATTCCGCCATTACGGCAAGATTGCAGGCGGATCTGGGAACGTATAAAGATTGTTTACAGAATTTTAAATGAGCTGCTTCGATAGGTGATGATTTTGGACTTTTGAATGATCCCCAAATTTCGGAGCCATACAACAATATTGGCTTTACACATGTGTCAAAAAGTTTGTTTCTTACAGATATTGTCGCGTTGGCTTTGTTTAGAGATTGATTGACTCCAAACAGTGCTTTTAGACCTTTGTTGTACAAGTGTTTGTTGTTTGCCTTGAACGTACCGGCAGCATTAACAACAATACCAAGGTAACAATAGTTTGTAACTATCTCTACTACATTGCTGTTGTACAAAAACTTACAGTCTTTTGGCAGACGGCCTCCCTTTGCAAAGACCACTACTTTGGTCTTCTTTAAGTTAACATTCAATTTCCATGTTTTACAATAAGTTTCTAATCTATCTAAAGATGTTTGTAGACCCCGTTTAGATTCAGAAAATATAACTAAGTCATCTGCGTATAACAGGCAAGATACTTTCTTATTATGTAATATGGGGGGGTTACAAGAATGATCATTAAACTCATTTGCTAAATCACTAATGTATAAATTAAATAGTGTTGGACTCAGGTTACAGCCTTGTCGAACCCCACAGTTAGTTACGAAAGTTTCGGTAAGACCGCGGTTAGTTTTGATACAATTTATTGTTTTGGAATACATGTCTTTGATAGTCATTAAAAATTTGCCTCCTATTCCAAGTTCAGTCAATTATAATATTATGGCTCTGTTTTGCGTGCCAAACAAAGTACACGAATACGTCAGAAACGCCATACCAGGAGAGAACGAAGCGTAGTGGCTTAAACTCCGTATGAGTTTTGTTTTATTTCAAATCACTATTAAGTAATACAGCGATAATTGACTTTAAAATGAAAAGTATTGCCTACAATACCAATTTGAAACTTAATGGTTGCGCTACTATAAACAGTGTTGATTTGTTTGATTTTGTTGCTTCTACAGTTCCTATCGGGGCAAAATGTCGTTAAGACTTGACTCACCATTGATGATTAATCTTTTTAATTGGCAAAGGATGGAACTCAATATTACTTGACAGCTTTTCAAACAACACTGATTACAATCCTAATACTGAAAGTGCAAACTCAAGAGTGTATCTTTGATGGTCATATGTGTTTTCTATTTGGGTAGCACTTCAGCGTTTTATTCAAATGATTTAGCTACCAACCAAGCTTCCGGAGTTTCATTTTTAAACGGATGGTTAAAAAAAACTGCTATTGGGGGTTTAGGGAAATGAACAATTGGGCATGTTATTGTGGTCGGTATCGCTCACTTGACGATTCAATCGGTGGTTATAAGAAATGACAAGGCCTTATGGCACAATATTCTTGTCGGGGTGTTTCTTTTCATGTTAGCAGTTAGCAGAAATCACTAATTAAAAAAAAAACTACGCTCAGAAAGACGATTATATTCGGGTTTCTGAGCACAAGTCACGTCATGTTTTTTAGGAAAAAATCTTATAAGCATAGCTACATATATTACCCCAAAATCCCAGATTTTCATATTTTTCGACGACCAGGAATACATTGTGTTCTATGGATTTTTTTTTATTTCTCATTTTAAGCACGATTTAGGGACAACTGTTACATTTATTTTAAGCCATCGATTCTTTTATTCTTCTTGCTTTCACGTTTAAACGAGTTTTTTCACATGTCATGTCGACCAAAACTGTGCATTGTGTTATTCATACAGGCGTAAAGAATCATTACTGTATTCAAGGTCACCCAAGGATACGACAGTAGCTTCGCTACATGTTACATATCCACCAAAAATGATACCTGACATGCACTGTCCAGGAAACTGTTTGTATCTATAGAATTTTTTTTATTTTTGCTGTTGCGAGGCAAATAGGCGGAACGGCTTGTTTTTGCCGGCTTATTGTAAGTGACCGCAGGTGACCCCCGAATAGAACGCGTTTTCGATCCATGCCATAACATGCAAGACGGATTTATTTAAACCTTGCTGCCAATACTATATAGTAACCGAAACCTCCTAAAAAATTGAAAACACTTGATTGTAATTTCGCTACATGTTCGGCAACATCTTTTTAAATACCAATAAGTACCATTTTATTAATCAAAGGAAGTATTCAAGTATTGTTATATATACATTGTAATCTGAAAGTCTTTATTTGCTTGCCCCAGTGTGTTACAATAACACTTATCTGCAAAAAAACTTAATAAAGTGGGTTCTTATACCTAACAGCATACTGACGTTTTAGAATATTTACCCTTAAGCAGAATATATGTCATGTAATCCATCTGCCAATATTTGATTAATACATTTTAATATTACACACAGTTCGTATTATTGGATCCGGTGTACTTTTATATATGTTGCTTAGACACGCTGATTTTTTCCCAAAATATTTGTACTGTAGTCATTTTTCCCCTTCCGTGGTATATGTATTAATCAATCTTTTTAAGAGCTAAGTCCACAAAGCAAAATTTTATTTCTATTGACATTGGCGATGTGGTTTACACAAGGGATTGTTATATATACAGGGCGATATTCCCCTAACAGTCAGACGGCAGGTAGGAACAGCGAACCACGGTCACCCGGCAAGACAGCGAGACGGTAAGTACATACAAGTTTGCTGTATGTAGTTTTCTAGACGACGTCGCACTGTGACAGTTGATTTCTATGACATATTGATTTCTATGGCCTAAAATATATGTTAATTGTGTGATATTCTGTCAGTCTCCATCGTTTTTTTCAAATCTACATATGACGGACATCTGTACTTTTGAGATACAGTCATAGTAATAGTTTTTTTCGACGTTTAGACAGGTGTTAGCGATTGAATGTTTTTTTTTGTAAATATAACGGCGTGGGGATTCCTGACTACCAGCCGAACTCCCTTCGTCTCCCCCTCGTAATGAAGAGGCCGGTCGGGAGCAAAGTCGACTCAGTTGGTGTTTGATCAGATCGGCTACCATTCAGCTGCGCTAGCCTAATATTACAAACTGTTAAAAATTTGGTTGTGGACGGGGGGGGGGGTTGAGCCAGTGTCGACTGCACTTTTAAAGTAGGTCAAGCGTTGTTGGGGGTTAAATCTAACTCAAATTTGATTCGATTCGTATGTCTGGTCAGACTGATCCCGAACTTCAGCCAACCGTGGATTCTTGTGTTTTAATGTTTGTCAGGGTCTTGAAATATCATTTTGTTCTGTTTCTTCCGACATTTGTAAGAGATCTAGGATCTTACAAATGCTCTGTGTACTTGAGTCGAACCTAATTGTTTCACGTCCGAGCTTAACATGACTATTTAGCATTGACTATGTCAACTATATGTATATTTTCTACTCTTAACAGAGGAATCGTCTTATTACTCTGGTACCGTAATATCAGCTGTTTTTAAACGATTTCTTACGCATTGGTCCAACGTGTCTGGTTTTTTTTTCAAAGTGTAATCATTTCCAAAATAAACATTTCAAAGAATTATAAATGGCCGAATCTAATATCAAGCTTGATTATTGTTCAATGGGACTTTATACACTAGCTTGAATATTTCTTATCCCATGATGTACACACTGATCGAGGAGGTTGACTTAATTTGATTTGATTTATTAGACTGTATAAACAGATATATACAGCCAGGACTGTCCAACTAGCCGGAGGCTATTATAAAGGGCTAGCCCTCACAAAAAGAACATAAACAATTCGGAACAGGTAACAGTTAACAGTGTCGGTTACACTTCAGATAAACATACTATTACATAACAGATGTGGCGGTCTAACGTTGACAAGCTATGCAATCTTGCCTAGTCCTCATGTGTTTACTATGATTACACTGTGTACTATATTTAAATGGTCAGGTTAACATACTATTACATAACAGATGTTACGGTCTTACGTTAACAAGCTATGAGATCCGGGCTAGTCGTCGTGCGTTTACTATAATTACATTGTGTACTATATTTACATTGTCAGGTTAACATATTATTGCATAACAGATGTTGCGGTCTAACGTTAACAAGCTATGGAATCTGGTCTAGTCGTCGTGCGTTTACTTTAATTAGATTTTGTTCTATATTTACATTGTTGACATACAATTATGTTGGACTCGTACAGTTAGTAGCTGCCATCGAATATTTGTTGTTGAGTAGTCTTCGGTGTTTGTTTTTGGAGGAGCCGACGGAGCGGGCTGTACGAGTATCGCTAAGAGCATTCCAGAGGGTTCAAGTCTGTTTAAAAGATTGGGGCGTCCCGATCGTTGTGCTAGGATAAAGCCATGAGACAAATTGTACCGCCTAGCTTGGAAGTTTTCATGATTTTTTTTTTACTTATGTCCTGAACTGCATGATTTAAGTCTTAGGGTGGTTATCGTGACGTTGCTTCTAATCACCTGAAGTACTAAATCCCTGTTATTAAAGCATTTCCAAATACGTTATGAAACTGATGGTCTCATTTGCTTAGTTATAGCTGGCGGTGTTCGATTTCTTCTTAATTACATCCTTTACCGGAATGCGGCACATCTATTCTTGTTTTACTGTGTCTATAAAAAAAAAAACTTCTAAATACTGTCAATAAACCGATTCAATTTTGGAAAATTGTAACTGGTCTTGCACCACAGTTTTTACAGGATCTTATTCCATCACGTACTCGTGATTGTGTCCCATACATACAACATTTCGCGCCAACTAGAACTTTTCGCCTATTGCTTATAAAAGTAAAAAGTATTTTTGAAATCATTATTACTCTTAACTATTTATTTGTGAAATAATCTTCCCCCGATATCCAAACCTTTCTCAGGATTGATATCTTTAACCCTAAACAGTGCACCTGGGGTCCGCGATATATATTCTGTAATATGTTTTTGTTTCTAAAGATTATTTCCTGAAATTTCAGGTAACTGTCACCCACAAAATTGCCCCTTAATACAGTGCAGAAAACTCTGTTTGCCCCATTTCTTTTAAATTTTCATATCTGATTTTCTTTGGGGTCCGCGCGGACCTAAGCTGGCCTTCGATCGTAATGGATACACTGGCGTTCTTATACATTACCTTATTTCCGTTTTTATTCGTTTTTATGCACTTGTCGCATGGCCACCAAATTTTCATAGAATGTTGTAGTAACAGAATTAAATTCTAACATCTTTGGTGTAATTATGACGTCATATGACATCAGAGCTAATAATTAGAGCGAAAGAAACTGCGCTGTTCATTAGCAAGAAGCCGCACTTTTACACCTACAAACCTGTAGTGCCTTTGGTGTAGTTCGAACTTTACTTACTGCACGGGTAGATTCTTGCAACTGATACATTAACAACTTGAATTCTTTTTTTATTATTCTGGTTTTCCCCACCTTGTAATTATGCATACATTTTGTCAGTGTGTTTTACACTCGTTTTATGTTTTTGAGTAGACTGTTTAATATACGCAACCTGCTTTTTGCCCAATACTCAATAAATATATGTCAATAAATAGACAATACTGTCATGTTTTACAACTATTATTGCTTTTGTTTAGTCATGGAACATCTTCTTCAAAAACATATATTGTGATGATAAAATTTCTTGCATTTTTAGTGATACTCCCTGTCAAGATGTTGTTCAGTACGCTTGTCTGCCTGGGCATTCTTGCTGTGATACCAAGTACACGGTTTGTACTCTCATAGTTATCATCAAACACTTGCATAACTCACACATATCGTAAAGTGTAAAATTGGACTTTGAGTCTATCATACACAAATATCCGTAAATATAGATTACAACAATGTGTATTTCGTACCAAGGTTCAAACCCGCGGGAGGGCTAGGGCAGTAATGTGAGAGTGTGGCACGGAATACACCGTGTTGTATTTAATGTATGCCATGCACATATGAGAAAACTCGTCTTTTAATGCAAAATGTGTCAAAATTCAGTGTCCCTTGCCAACAAAAACTTAACCAATGCCAATTTCCAAATGCGGAATTGTAAATCTAGAAAACGGTGTAAGCAGCTCACGCGAAACGTGCTGGGATTCATTTGGAAGCATGTTGTCCAAATAGAAATGATATAATTGTAATGTAGTTATAATTTTACTTGTAAAATTTAATAGTTTCAATTTTACTTCTAAAATTTAATTCACATTTAGCATGAAAGTTCATCTGTGTTGGTGCAAGCTAAGTCATTATGAAATAAAGAATTTTGAATTATAAAATAAAAATTTGGGTAAGTCCATTTCCATAGTCTACTTGTTGGAAGTTGAAGCTTTAGTCTTTATTTCCTAATGCACTTTCGTTTTCATCGCATTTGCTCCCATGTAAAGTACTTCTTTCACTGATGTTTTCCTTTTCAGATGTTCCACGTGTTTTGAACCGTACCGGTGTTCATACCGGCAAAGCTATGCTCATGGGTACTATGTTTCCTGTGGATTATTTTCCTCGTGTCATCGTTACAGGTGATGTTGTTGACTTTTTTGACAATTGCAATTTTTATTTGTCAAAATATGTTGGCCCTCAAAGGCAAGTTTCTTATTGCTAATCTATTATGATTGCGAAAGCTTGACATAAAAGTCGCCATGTACTACCACAAAATCACAATACTAGCATCGTATTCCTGTGGTTAGGCAGCATTCTCTTTGCTGTATTTTTTTTTGCCCGGTCGTACTAGTTTGAGTGTCTTTAGGGATGTCATCCATAAAATTAGGACAGTGTGACAAAATATAAGGACTGTTTAGATTTTACATAGAACATTTTGTTAAGTAATATTTGTAGAATGCTGTTTCATAAAAACCTTTTAAAAATCATGTTTTAGGACCTCATATCGCACGAGGTATAGGACGTGCCAACGCTGCTGCCCTGGATACGAAGGTACCGACTGTACAGGTACGCGCAATGTCTTTATCATAACATGCAAATAGACGATTTGATATAAAGCAGTAAATGTTGTAAGAGTGCTTTTACAGTTATTAGAACAGCATGATAAATATTTACTTTTTTTAGACTTATTAAATTTAGCTACATATGTATAGGACGAAGGCAATTCAAATCTTATTCTAGTGTGTGGAGAAAAGAAACTGTGAAAACAAGCCTAACTAATTCCACGATCTTATGCCTTCACTAAATGGCATTAATAACCTTTACGACTGTTTAGTCGGTCGAATTCCTTGCCCAGTTAATGACAGTCCTGTCTCTCAAAATAATTAAAGCTATTCTGTCATTTCAGAGAAATTAGGTCGGTAGATTTACAAAAAAAAGTACACTATGAATGTATATGTATGATATTTATAAGGGCGCACAAAACTAGTTTACTATGCTCTGGCTAAGACTTAAACATTGGCTGCTAGTTAAATACTCTTGTCTGTACTTGTCAAGTAAATACTACATTGAAAAGAGCGCAGTTTCTGACACAAAACTACCAAAGCTATAAGAGGTAGGAAAAAGACATTTCAAGTTGCAAAAACAGATGCAAGTAGGTACTTAAGTACAACAAGGACTTCATATACAAATATTTTGACAGGGCTAATCAGGTATTTAAATTGGAATAGAGTGGATTTTTCAAACTGAAAGTGGCAGATTGACTTGTCTTAGTAAAAGTATCTGCGTCGTTGTTAAATAGTGATACCAATACTTAAAGCGTCATTATATAGAAAATCGGTTTGATGGGTTTATGTAGTTATCGGGGTCAATTCACTATTTAAAGAAGTATCATAGTGGAGACATTCTTTTTAGGGGAGCTTTCTTATAATTTTTAATATTATTGTTTCAACGGGCAAAGAACCAACCTTTTGTAGTTTGAAAATTGCAAAATGTTTAATTTTCATTTTCTCTTAATTTATTGCAGTTACATCAAATTTTAAAATTTAATTCAAATTATAATGTTTTGGATTTCGCAAAAAATGTTTGTCAAAATATTTTCAAATCTACTTTTAAACTGATTTAGGCCATGTTGATTTGATTTAATGGATGACATCCGCGCGCGCATGAATTTTCGGCCGTTTCCAAAAAAAAAGTTTTAAACCATACTGTGAATCGTACAAAACGGTTGCAAAATGAGCAAAAATATGCCGTAAATTACAAAAAATAAAAAACTATACCAATGTCGTAGAATGCCAAGATCAAACAAAAAAAGACGAAATTGTAAAGAAATAAACTATAAGACTAGATTATTCACCAAACCATATTCTGTGTCATTTGTTAAGCCTTCAAAACCACGTAGCTTTCATAATGAAAACAACTTTTTTTTTTGGAAAAACTTTTTTTTTATTCGCACGCGCGCATCAGTTTTGGGGTTCCAGCAGGATGTCACCCATATAATCAAATCAACATGGCCTTATAGATGTGGATGAGTGCTTGGCAAACGGAGGACGAGGACAATGTGACCAGATCTGTACCAATGAGCCCGGCAGTTACCGCTGTTCTTGCAGGGTCGGATACCAGCTCGATGTGGACGGCGTCTCGTGTATTGGTTAGTATTGGATGTTGCTATGTACCTCATTAAAAGCCCCCTCTCTGGTATTCTTTTAGTTTATTGTCCGTACTTTTTAGATATCGTCTTGAAACCACAAGCATTTCAAAAATACAATTATTTTCACTAAAACACATTCATTTGTACAGTTTAAATGTTGAAGTAACATATGCTGTATTCCTTGTCAAATATCGACCTCTGCTTTTAATTTCACTAAATCAATTATTGCCTAGAATTGCCGCGAACATTGTATTACTTTTCCACACCATTTTGCTCATGCAAAATGGATTGTTCCAATCTTACCTTTAAAAAAAAGAACGCTTTATAACTAATGCTAAATGACTATTAGGTAAAAAAAGGGGAAAAAGGCTCATCAACTAAAAACCAGCTTTTATTGTTTAGTATTAGATGCTATACAAAATAATCCGGATCGAGCCGAAAAGATAGGTAACCGAATTGATCCGGTCAAATTTATGACAGTCCGGTTTGATTCGGCTTAATCAAGCCGGATCAAGTCGTTACCCGCTGTGTGATAACGCTCCTCCCTTAACTGGCTTCGTTAATAGGCTTTGAGACGTCATATTTCCCATCTTCACGGGGTTGAAATACGAACAGTGTGGACATTTTTACGATTGTCAGTCCCATACGTCTTTTTTCTACATACGTGTATATCAATAGCGCAGCATGAGTTACTGTTTCAAAAATAGGCAGACCCATATGTATATACAGTGTATGTGTTTTAGCATTATAATTAGGTACCAAATTGTATCTTATGTATGCAGATGTGAACGAATGCAGTACAGGCCTTCATGACTGTGACCAGAGGTGTTTCAACACTTACGGCGGGTTTTCATGTGGATGTAATGACGGGTTTTACCTCAATGACGATGGAAGGACTTGTTCAGGTATGGTTTATTTTTTATTTTATTTTATGCATGTATTGATGAAAGCATTTGTAAAATTTCGACATTCTAATAATCTACTTAATGGAGCACTGAGCATTTTGCAGAGATGGGTGGGTTTGTTGTTGTAGACGTTGTGCTGACCGATGACCGGGATTTCGGGACAGCCCACGTTGGAACCAACTAAAAACGTTTACATCCTTAGATCTGCCTTTGAAGTGAAAGACAGAATTGTGTAATCTATTAGCTAACTACTTTTTTCATCGCTGCAAAAACGAACATGGATAATGGCTAGTTTGGCAAACGGTCATTGTGTAATGATACAAGCGGTGGCTCTTACTTAAACAGAATAATTTTCATTTAATCAGATATGGTGCAAATGTACACTTCTAAAGTGATGTGGTCGGATAAAACATTTAGATACACATGCAGGCTTTACAATTAGCACAATTCTTTGTAAATGTTAATCTTTAAAATTCCACCTCTTGGAAATATTTTAAACATTTTTTTCAACATTATCAATCTTCCCATGCTATGTGACCCTTTCAGGTATTTCTGATGTCAAGAATGATAATTTCTCTTATTAGCAAACGGGCTGGTAAACCCAAGCCTTCTGTCCGGTTGGCCACGGACGTCCCGCTGCGCGAGCTTTTAACGTATTATATAAACTAAAGGCGCCAGTGGAGCCATCATTAGTACCTTGATTACAATCACTTTTTTTTCGAAATATTTTGAAATCTTACTGAGAAGATTTATTAATTCATAAATGAAATATTTTTATTGCGACTAAACCATAACAATTTCTTAAACATGTTACACCGATACTCACATGTTTAAACATTTTTCATAACATCATCATCTCTTTTATGAAAATTTTTGATTAATCATCACAATTTCAAATTTCTTCCGAAATGATTCGTATGTATACTTACTATAGTTCAAACAAAAATCTTAAATCCCTCGCGGTGACATGGAAACGAATCTATCTATCAATGGCATAGTAAAATGGATTCAAAGCATAAGGGTTCCATATTAAAAAAAATGTACTCTCCAAGCAGAGGTTGTGAGGGACTGATGGCTAGCTTTTTATATATGGCCCTTTTTTGTCTTTTTTTACCGGCGACCTTCTCTGGCTAATGGATACTGCCCCCGAAAGGGATCTGCTTGGAGATTAATAAAATTCAAGAAAACATTTGATTACAAAACGTTATACTGATTACAACCAGAATAACAAGGAAGCTGTGGTAACATTTTATGGATTTCAAGTTAATTTTACTTTTTATTAAGACAGCAAAAACGTAAAAACATACAAAATGTCGAACTCAAGTTTAAATGAACTTATATTAACGGCGCCATCTACACAAAATAATTAAACAAATAATAAACAGATATTCAAAATAGAAACAAGCCAATTGGGGTTTAGTAAAAGGAATTTAACGAGCGCTGTTAATTTTATAGTTGTCTTTTGGATCGCATACATTGTGCCTGTCTGCGGTCAATTTTATTTTTTGGGTGTGTTGAGCTGAATATCTGATAATTGTTAATTAACTTCAGAATTCTATAACATCTTAATTTAACAAATATTTAAATATTATTTGTGCCTTCAAAAATAGATGATGACGACTGCTTCCCTGGAGCTTGTGATAACGGAGGAACGTGTGTTGACGGGAATCATACCTTCTCCTGTGTGTGCGTACCTGGTTTCAAGGGAGAAAGATGCCAAACAGGTGCAAAACATTATTTCACAATTTAATATATTGTAATGAAATTTCAGACTACCGTTGATTTGTGATGATATCATACAGTGACATCATTTAGAGATAAAATTTCTTGACATATTTTAATGTGTCAATGCTTAAGTTAGACCAATGACAGGAAAATCGTTCTGAAAACCACAAAGTGAGTCTATAAAGCAAAAACAAAACACGGCGGTCTGCCCCTACGGCATTCTTTCCCATTGCTGGGGGCGTTCGAAAAAGTATCGGGTTACAAGACGCAATTTTGGGTAAAACATTTGAAAATAAACAAATCTGTATCGAAGGGAAAATTTAGTTGCAATAAAATTATTGTCTTTACATACATTCAATGGTGATTTTTGCGCTAAATGAATTATTTTTTTCGAATTTCGTTAAAAAAGCCGATAATTTTCGGGATTTCGCTGCGCCATATTTTCGCCAATCACCAAGCAAACCTGGCGACACATATTACGCAAGATCACTGATTTTTATATTTTTCGACGACTAGGAATTAGATGAAAAATCGTGCTTTAAAGATTTTTTAATTTCTAATTTTTAGTTTAGTTTTGTCGACAGATAGGTGGAAAAATATAATTTTTTTTGCTTTCTTCGCACTCAATTACCCATAATTCAAAATAGAGCACATTTTTTAAAAATCCCTAAAGCACGATTGTCGGGAAAGCCGTTACAGTCATTTTGAGCCGTAAATAGGGTATGTTTGACTCTCCATGCTTTCAGGTTTGAACGAGATATGTCTTATCGCCCGAAAGTGTGCATCGTCTTATTCATACAGGCGTAAAGAATCATTACAGTATTCAAGGTCACCCAAGGATACGACAGTAGCTTCGGCACATGTTACATATCCACAAAAATGATAGCGGACATGTACTGTCCAGGAAACTATTTGTATATATAGACACGAGTTGTTTTTTTTTTTAATCTGTTGCGAAGCACTCAGGCAGAAGGGCTTGTTTTGCCGCTCTATTGCCAATGACCGCAGGTGACCCCGAAATAGAACGCGGGTTCGATTTGAATTGCCCAGATCGAACACGATCGAACACAGTTCGGATTCTATGAATTGTGTGAACTTTGCAGCCCAGATTTTACCACCATGAAAATTGGATGTTTCTTGAAAAACTGACTCGAAACATTTACAGATTTTTTTCGTAACTACTTTTCCCTAGCGCCCTGCAGCGAAGATTACGACCCTCCCCTGAACGGTGGCAAAGCCTGTTCAGTGACGGACGACACGACAGGAGCCATGTTCTGTACTGTCTACTGTCGGAACGACAGAGACTTCGCCATACAACCTGCCCAGGCGTACACGTGTCGGGCCGACGGAGTCTGGTTTGCTGATGGTCTCCCGATGGAGAGCCAGGATAAACCTTGGCCAGATTGCACAAGTATGTGACTAATGTAATGGTCACCTTTATTCTTGGGTGTCAGTCACTTGGCCCGACCTTAGCGACGGGTGTTATCCGTCATGTTGGTGTTCCTACAACCTCGCGTAGCCTACGCGCTATATACATGGTTCATTGTTTTGTAGCTGGTTGCGGGTCAAAAAAGTGGTAAACACAGTGTATCTTTTCAATGTGTGCCAAGATGATTACAAATCAAGGAAAGGACCAGGAAAAACTGACCGAAAAACATCGCAGATTGTGGATTTTTGCGATCAGCCGCGGGGGTACGGCCACAGAAATATCCCGAGATTGTGGCGAGTTACTATCGCCACAGACTCTGGGCAAGCTTCACCCGCCTTGGTCCGACACAATGTTGCCTGGGTCCCTACTAAAACCTAACCTTGGAAGAAAGAAGTACAGAGATTGGGACGAAAGCAAAGAACAGAAGTAGGGGCAAGGGGCGAAAGGGCGAGAGAACGCAACAAAGCGGCGGGCCGCGGAACAGCCCGGTCTGGCGGCTTGACCGGACGGGGCTTCTGACGCCAAAAGCCGCCCGACGCCACACAATGCTGCTGGATATCGCGTACGTGATCTTCCCTACACCGAGGTCAGAAATGTTCCTGTACATGCAGAAATGGCACCCAGGAATTTCCATTAAACACCGACTAAACAATAGTTTACACGGTGCAAGTGAATTTATTTTGATACACGTGGCAGTGACTGACTCAATTTGAGCGTAAGTGCTAAAACTCCGAGTTCACCCTGACAGCCCAACAGAATTACCAATCTTAGCCCTGAAATGCCGTTAAGATTCTGCTTATCATGATACCCTAATATTCTAATGTGAATGTTTACAAGCTAATTCATGCATAGGTTGTGAGAGGTTACCCAAAAACTTTTTTTCACGGCAAAACTACAACTACGGGTACGTAAACAAAATTATGCCCGGAGGCTCCCCTCCCAACGCCGATGATTTACCCCCGCAAACTCGAGGCTGCCAACAAAATTCAACAAAATTTCTGTCCACAGGGATGACAAGCCGTCATGTGAAATTCTATCTAATGGGGTTCCAACAGAGACAGGAGTACTTTTGGTGCTTGAAAAAATATTCATGAACTCCAGTTTGTCAGCGGCGAAACCGAAGGGGCTAGATGAAATTACACAACAAACAAAGCCGCCCGCGGGCATGAATCAAACTGACATTTTTCATTATTACACACAGAACCCATAATTTTGAAACAGCAACCAATAGTAAAACAAGGATTTACATTACCAAGAAAAGGTGAAACTTAGGCTTACCATAATTTGATTGTGGATAACCCGTCCGCTCCACTCGAAATTGTTGTTTACCATTCCGCTACGCGAGCGAGTCACAAGTTGTCGCGAGAAGGAATCAGACACACGGGTGACCCGCGCACAGAGAACTGTCCAAAACACACTTCCCAGAACCTCTCTCTCTCTCTCTCTTAATTCATTTATTGAGAAAAAATTAGACTAGAGTGACCAACATACGGATCCTGTCCACTGTACGTAGGACTGTGTAGGAGATACTAGTAACGTTAGTCTTTGAAGTTCGTTCACACATACGCAAGTTTTGTCGTCCTATATCCTTTGTCATCGTATCTTTTGACTTCCTATCCTCTCAAAAATGTCCAATTTCATTGAAAACCTTGTCATCTGTCAACCATCAAAGACTGCAGAATTATCGTGTGGCTGTTAACTACTTGTATGGCTTCGGTGCCAACGTCTTGACACTGCATAGCACTACACCGAGGAACACCAACATGGCGGCCGCCTGTATTACGCAAGCCCCGTGACGTCACGTGAAAGCCGAGAATACATTATACACAGTGGTAAATCATGTAAGCTGAATGGCCATCAAAATCTGTTAATTACCATTTTTATGAAATACCTGTAATAGGAAGCAGTATATAAGTGGACTAAGAACATCTACAACAATTATTTCATCATGAAATAAGACATGAAAATGAAGCTTATTTGTTTTAAGATATATATCTTTTTTAGAATTTGTTTTAATTCATACATACGTAAGAGCAATACAAGCAAACATTACAAAACACGAAAAAAAGGAAAAAAAGATTAACGTCCAGGGTAAGGGAAAATTCATGGAGGCGTATTTGATAACCCCCAGCCCTTTATCATGTTCTTACATTATTAAACGTATCAAATTGAGTTTGGATTCTGAAGTAAATTACAATTGATGACAAAAGAAATAGCAAAACAATAAACTGATGTATCAAATAAATCAAAATAATTAAAATTGGCGATGAATATAATGAATTAATAATGAGGTCAAATAAATTAAAAATTTGGCAATTGCTTTGCCACATTCACAGGAAGTCATCGTCCAGGACGACCTCACATGCTGGCAGAGGTTCACTACATCTCAGGCGCCGACTGTCCCAGCAGCATGGTTGAAATCCTCTCCGAATTCCAACGACTCTTTGATAGTAGTATGCAGTCGTCCCAACCAGGTGTAACAATCACAGTAGGGAACGTTGAAGTGGAGTGTGGAGGAAACATAAGGCAAACTACTACAACAAAATGGAGAAACGTTATCTCAAAACCCAAACGATCTGCAAACGGTTTCACGGTAAGGTTCAAGGTGGTTGCCAGCAGCTCATTGGCACCTGAAAATATCACCCAGAATGAGCAAAATACCCTCGTATATGCCCTGGACGATATCTACTTTGATATCGAAGACAAGGTTGCAAACCAGGAGTTCGACTTGACAATCAACGGACAACAAGCATCTGTCGACACAGTGAACATCGGGTTTGCGGAGTTCAACCTCAACTGCACCCAGGGGCAACTGAGTTTTCAAGACACTTTTGAGGCGTATTGTCGTGAGTTAAACGATTTGATCTTGACGACCTTTTTTAATCCCGTTAAATCTTAATAATGTATTCCTGTTTATGTTTGTACTAACACTTACTTAACAGGTATAAGACATGAAGTATTTTTTTTGTTTGTTTTGGAACATTTTTATTTGTTCTCTAAACTCCAAATGTTCGACTCAAATGCTTTGGTATTATCACTCAGTCCCCTCAATCTTCGCGAGAGAATTTCCAAGAATATGTCACTTTATGCCGTTGTGACGTTGTTCCCAGGCCATTACTGATGTGACATAAGCTCTGTCAATATTCCAGTGTTTCAAAAGAACGAAGTAAGATGCACAAATGTACTAGATACACGAAAAATAAATTTTACCAACATAGGACTCTGAAATTGAACGTTCGTTAAAAACTGTTGATTTATTTTCATGGCATATTTATTATGATGCTCCCGGGCAAACAGTATCATTAAAGGAGTTTGAAAATAATCTAAACATGGATATTTCTTGAGAGGTGTAGAAATGTCATCTACAATAATCCGAGCTAGAGTACAAATTGACTTTTCAACAATATGAGTTTTAAGCTATAAATTAAAATTAATTAAAAGTAACTTTCTTGCTAAAATGTTTTAATTGCATTTGTTATGTAACGTATTTCAACAGAGAATACAAAAAGAATATTGCATGATAAAACTGCATGATAATAATAACCACCCGTATTCCAGTTGACTGTCCATCCGGCACGTTCCATGACCTGACTACGGACACCTGTGAGTACTGCCCTGTTGGTGAGTACCAGGACCAGCCGGTACAGACGGACTGTAAACAATGTCCTCACGGCACCTGGTCCGTGTTCACTGGTGCAAAGGAGGAGGCCCAGTGCATGTCAGGTAAAGCGTTGTCTATCAATTGTATATTTAATCTGCAATAATAAATAATAAATAAGAATAAATATGCATAATAAATAAGAAAATACTGTTATTCTGTGGTAGTAAATGGTATTTTTTATTTTATTCAGCTTATGCAAATTATTTACATAATTCACTACCAATCTTTAAACTAAATTTTATATTTTTTGTCTGGGTATTTGCACCTGGAAATAAATATCATTTGAGGATATCAAACACCTCAGCTTTACTATAAATGCTATGATTCTTTTAATAAGGATTTCCTCTTGTTTATTTTTTTTTTCATTGGTGATAACATCGTTATTTTAACACAAGTTCACAACATAATTTAGTATGCCTCGGCAAAGACGACCTGTGCTCCAGCTGTGCTCACGTCAAGGGGCAACTGACCTGCAAGGTAAGACGCTCTTGACGCACAAAAACAAAACACTTGCTAAGTCTTTAATAATATTTTTTTTTAATTAACACCGATTAGCAAAGAGACTGGTGTGTTACGCCGAAAGGCGGTTATACCGGCTATACAGACACAGAGACATACATTTCCTTAGACACAAAAGACGACTTTTCTATTAAAAAAGTATTTCAATTAAGTTTCATCTGCCAATTGTTTTGGTGCATGGATTCAAAGACAAAACATTTATGTTTAAAGACTGTTCTTACCAAATGAAAAAAAAATATTTTGTTCATCATCCATTTTTACTTCAGTGTGAAGTTGGCTGGGCCGGATCCCAAGACGGACTTACCTGTGGACTTGACGGTGATCAAGATGGTTATCCAGATGTACACCTGCCTTGTAATGACACCAAGTGCAACAAGGTATGCATAGAGCTAATAACAATAATCAAAGAGAAGTGTCAAAGGGACATCCAGAGGGGCACCTCCTCCTAGGATAGACTGAACCGAATAACAATGTTAATCTGACGAAACAGTCATAGAGTACTTGCCCATGGTATGGATATAATGTTTTCTATTTCTTGTTTTAGGACAACTGCCCGGGTATCCCTAACAGTGGACAAGAGAACACAGATGGGGATGAGATGGGAGACGCCTGTGATGACGACATGGACAACGATGGGTTCCTTAATGCCGTGGTATAGTATAAAAACATAATGCTAACCATTGCCATCGAAATTTCGTTGAACTGCATTCTTATGTGCCCATGACAACGGTATAAATAATCTTATTTTAGGACGTAGCTTGATTTAATCTAACAGGGAGCGAGTGATTTGTATATTAACCTGCGTATATGTATCTATAATCGTTTTTACATATTATTCAAAATTGACCCTAAACACCATACCTGTAACACGACCTTAACTGTTATATAACATATATATATATATAATGCCCTTTGTTCGGTTTACAAAATGGAGTGTTTCTACTTTAATTAAGCTTAAAAGTTTGTTTCCAAAAACTCATCAACGTTTTACAGATTGTAATCATGTTATCAATACCATATCTAGCTGTCTTTAAAAAAACTTTTTGTGTTTAAAAATATAGAAACCCTCTTGGCGGCATTTTTATAAAGTTCCAATCTAAAGGGATTTTTTTTGGAATTGCTAGAAATGTATATAATGCTTTTTACTTCGGAGCACGTAACATTTATTGTAAGAAGGTCTGTTCTCAAACTTATGAACAAATATTCCCTGTATTTTGTTTTGATAACCCAGTAAAGGCAAATCTGAAAAAAAAAACTAAAGCTTTTTCCGTTAATCCTTAAAGGACAATTGCCCACTGCTAGTAAACGGTGACCAGACGGACAGTGACGGTGATGGAGTGGGTGACGTGTGTGACAACTGTCCCACGGACATCAACACTGACCAACGGGACACTGACGGGGACGGTGTGGGGGATGTGTGTGACAGTGATGCCGATAGTGACGGTAAGTTTGATTTCAGCAAAACACAAGTCCCGTTAATATGTTCACATTTACAGACAGAAAAAAATCGTTTATGTTTTGTTTCTTCTTTTTCATTTTACCCTTTTTTCCTACACACGGCGTCAATATCATGGACCAGATGTCTATCACCAGGGTATATGGTGCTGTAACTGACATTGTGTAGAGGGTCAGAGCTGGAGGGCCTTGTCACGATTATATAAGTGTCTTACATTAAATAATAGTAATTTGTCAGGCCAGACGATGTTTTGCTTTGCAAACGTTACTCTTAGTTTCTGCGATCCTTTGTTTCCAAAAAAAAAATGAATCATTGTGTTAACTAGTCGCGTACGTATACACACGACACAAAAAATAAATCATTGGCAACTTGGGCAAGTGACTTCATTGGTTAATTATAGGTATAACATCCCTTATATGAACAAAGGACTCAATTGCTAAGTATATTAAATTAAAATTGGGGACTTCACTGATTAATTACAGGTATAACATTCCTTTTATGAACAAAGGATTCGATTACTAAATATATTGCTATTCATTAGTTTGCTTTTTATCAAATGTTAAATCACATTCCAGCTTTTTACGAAATCAAATAAATGTAGATGGTATGTGTTTTAGGGATTCTTGACAACCAGGACAACTGTCCGTTCGTGGCTAATGCTCTACAGGAAGATTCTGACGGAGACGGGGTCGGAGATGTCTGTGACAACTGTCCGGTGGTCGCAAACGTGGATCAGGTTAGTCAAAATGGCCTACTAACTCCCGTATTGCGTGGGTAAACATTAGAAAAATTATAGGCATGGTGTTTAGAAGAATTGTGATTTAACTGCCTATGGTTATCAGAACGTGAGAATTTAAAATCTTTCTTGCTGTCATTATTATAATGATAACATTAACATTTGCTTCCATCATGTCCAGTTTGACCTGGATGAAAATTCCATCGGCGACGCCTGCACCGACAATGTCGACAGGTAGGGTTATCATTACGCTGAAACGTTACTTGTTCTGTCATGTAGAAAAAAGATCCACCCATCTTAATCTTCGACGATAGTTATTTTACCAAAAAAAACTTAAATGCTCCCCATTTGACAGCGATGCAGATGGGATCCCGAACTCCTCTGACAACTGCCCTGACATCCCCAACAGTCAACAACTGGATACGGACAAGGATGGAGCAGGTACAGGTTACCTGAATTCATCTGTAAAAACATTTTTTATCACTTAAGCAAACATGCGTCGTATTACTAAACTACCTTTCTTTTCAGCATAGGTGATTTGCTTATTCCATCGACGAATTGTACAGTCTTGTAGGATTCCTGTGTCTGTTAAAAAAAGCAACGCAATGTTACCCTATTGTAAAAAATGCGCTGTACATATAACAATTGAAATATGTAACTAATTTCTCTATTAATCAATGCTAAAATAGATGCATCATTGCTATATGTACAGCAAATTATTGTCTATGGTTGTATTTAACCAGCCTGTTGGTTACAGGTGATCTTTGTGACGATGATGACGATGGAGATACCATATTGGATGACGTGGACACGTGTCGTCTCGTTCCCAACCTGGACAATGAAGACTTTGACGGTGAGAGGATTTCTACTATTAATTTGAAAATTATGGCATTGTTGTCTAATACCATAAACATCTATGAATGCCTCCTCACCTGTTTTAGTACTGACAGCAATGCTACCAGGTTTTTTTTTATTCCAACATTTCATGACTAGACATGGTGACGGCAAACTCAATTTATATCAACTTATTTTATGCCTTTATCAACGCAGATAAAAGATAAATACGGAACAAGACAATACTCATTTCACATGTCCCTCATGCCAAGAAAGTGTTGAAGATGAATATCATTTCGTAATGACCTGTCCTACATATACTTTAGATAGACAATAATTAATGAAAATGATCACATGTGAAACTGGTAAACTTCTCCCAAAGACAAACATAGACATTTTCAATCTACTTATGTCGTGCCCCGACTCCATATCTACGTACCTAGGCCAATATATATGTAGTGCATTACAAAAGAGAGAAAGTATTGTAACAGATAGTAACGCCTAACTCACACCATGTCATACGCCATTTACGTTCATATTCCTGTAGTAATACTAGTAGTCTCTTAAAATAGACTTGATTGTATTGATCACATTGTTATTGATGCCATACATTTTACCAAGTACAACTGTCGAGCAATAAAGTTCAGTTCAGTATTTACACCTGGGATAACTGAGGGAAGTCGACGTGTAAAGTGCCTTTCCCAAGGGCACAAAATCGGTGGCATGTTAGGACTCGAACCCGGGACCTCTTGGTTCCGAGTCGTGCACTCTGCCGCTACGTCACAAGACCCCACCATGTGTTGTTTCAGGAGATGGAGTAGGTGACGTCTGTACCGGTGATTTTGACATGGACGGCGTGCCTGACGCTGATGACGTGTGTCCTGAGAGTGGGGTCATCGCCCGTTCGGACTTCAGGAACTACCAAACCGTCAACCTGGCCGGTCCTGGTAGCCAACAACCCGATCCGGTTTGGGAGTTCCTTAATGAGGTATTCTTTATTTAAAAAAAATCTATAGTCTATTCTGTATTTCATTTAGGTATTTTTAAAGTATGTAACTTATTGCTACCGGTTGAGGTCAGCTTTAAACAAAAAAGGATCAGTATCATCTTTAAGCAGCTAACATACCAAGACATAGCATGAACAAAACATAAGACAAGAAAAGACATAGCATATTTACCAACGAATTGAGATTTTGGAAATACATCATCAGACCAATCTGCACTTACTACCGGTATGAACAAAAAAAAATTACATAATTTGATTAATCCATAATAGCTATTATGTAAGTGCAAATACCATGGATTTTACGCATTGTATTTTTTGCTAGAAACTTTAATGAAATAAATTTGGTATATGTCGCAGGGAACTGAAGTAGTCCAGAAAGCAAACAGTGGCCCAGGCCTTGTACTGGGTAAGTATCACATTATATTAAAAACAAATAGTAGAGTATTGGATACCGATTAACTTAACATCCATGTATTATGCACAGTGATAAGTTTAATTTCTTTACTGTGAGTTAATGACCTTGGGCCTAAGAGTAACAATGTCCTATGTCCTATCAATGATAACGAAGACCATTTTTGTCTAAGGTCCTGACAACTTCGGCAACCTGGACTACCGTGGAACCTTCTTTGTGAACACCCAGGTTGATGACGACTTTGTGGGTTTCGTCTTCAGCTATCAGAGCAACTCTCGGTTCTACCTGATGTCCTGGAAACAGGCAGGGGACAGCAGCGGTGGACAGGCGGGGGTACAGCTGAAGGTAGACCTTTCTTTTTCAAATGTCTGAAGTGAATTGTTAATTGCAACCTGGGCTTGTGACATATATAAAACTGTTTTACGGTAGGACGTCTTTTTACATATTAAAGAGCATCTATTATGACGCTACACTAATTATGGTTTGTATCGCCGCGCTGATTGTTACAAAGGAATTAGGGTAAACGATTTTGTTTCTACCATTATAATCAATTAAGATGCTTACCATACTGATTTGCCATAATATGAACGATTCCAATGTACCTGCTAGATATCAGAATTGAGGGACGCAAACTAAGATCTTGTTTGTCACTAGTTTGTGGATTCGACTACCGGACCTGGTGACGACCTGTCCCTGGCTCTTTGGAAGGGTGAGGAGGTTCCGGGACAGGTAAGTTATTGTTTTGGCCTGAATGGTAATTACTGCTGTTACTGCTATATATAATCATGACCCATAATAAGAGCTTAAGAACCCAAAAAATGGAAAGTAAGATGTGCAACCTATTCAAAATGTAGTAAATTCCTGAAGCTCATGCTTGGATCAATAATACAATGCAATTAAGCGTGGTTATTCGTTTAAAGCACTGGATACGGGTAATAGTGTGGCTGTTGTTAACGCTGTATTAGATTACTTATTTTGAAACAAGTACTAACTGCCCTACACCTAGAAGGAGGCAGTGTTTATTTTTCAGTATCAAGTTCATTTTCGCATTATGCTTTTTGAGAACATTTTCCTTTTTGAACCTCAGACCAAACTGCTGTGGGAGGATCCCAGCAAAGTGGGCTGGAGCTACAACACCGCCTACCGCTGGGAGCTGAAGCACCGGGTGGACATCGGGCTTATCAGGTAACCTGCTAATGTTGTCATCATCACCATAAGTCTTTCCTTGAACTTGTTACATTAGGTCCTCTGAATTGTCATATATTTAAAAGTGTTTCCCCGTCCTTTTTTTTTCCAGAATATAACTGCTGGCGCTAATACTTACATGCACATCTTCCCTGTGTTAATAAAAGTTTTATTGCAAATACTTGCCCAAGGGCTGATTGCAGTTACAAACAACATAGAAAGAAAATGCAGTGGTATGTGAGACTATATCTACTTCTAACATTATACTATATTCTACAACATGACATGACACTAGTTTTACTGGATTTGACTTCTTCTTTTTAGGCAATGCAAGACGAATTTACCCACTCCTTCTATAATATGTGGGTTCTCTGATTTTAGTAGTTAAATTGTTTTTTGTGGTAAGGAATGGTGGGGAAGCAAGGCAGCATTTTGGACACGGTGGTAAATAATTGATTTCTAATGTCGTCATAAAATGGACAGTTAGAGATGAAATGAATTTCGTATTCCACTGCATTTGAGGAGCAATATTTACAAATTCTCTTCGACACAGGTTAATGCTGGGGTCATAAATCCCATACGGGGCCCGGCTGGGCAGCTTTTGGGAACGAAAACTACGATTCAGAATACAAAAACATCGAAAAGTTCTTGATAATAATCATGGGCTCTATTTCTCTATCTTCTTGATAAGAATAGTCAATTTTTCATTCGTACAAACAGCCCGGTCGGGCCCCGGTTTGGAAATGTGACCTAAGCATAAAGTCAGATTGCCGTATGTCTGTCCGTGCAGGTTCCGGCTGTACTCCGGCAGTCTCCTTGTGGTGGACTCCGGTGACGTTCTGGACGCCTCTCTCCGCGGAGGCCGCCTGGGGGTGTACTGTTACTCCCAGGAGAACGTCATCTGGTCTGATCTCGTCACCAAGTGCGATGGTAAGAAACATTCCATGCCTGATAGAAAAGCATGCAGGAAATAGAACGTTTAACCCTCAATCACCCGAACGGGGTCTATTTCGACCCCAGGCATATATTATTATGCGTTCATTCGAAAAAAAATTCCTCCCGTGACTTTGTCGACAAACCTCTTCTACAAGTCCTCCTACATTTTTTTGGAAATCGGCACAAATTTGTAAAAAATAACAACGGAAGTCTTATGTAAGACCGTCTGGGGTCCAAACAAACCCCAGCCATGTATTTGCACTTTCCTACACACAATATTGTTCGGATGTCCTCAATATGTCTTTATCTAAGCATTATTGCTTTAATATTATGCAGTTTGCCAAGTAACCTCAACCTCAGGAATTAGGTCATCAGGTTTTTCAATTTGACAATCATATGAGGTCAAAGGTCAACCCCATGTTCATGCCTGCAGGCCTAATCCTATTTTTGCATAAATTATGATAATGAGTTGGAATTTTTAAACACTTAATTATGCCAAAATATCCATCTTACTATGTTTATCCAATATATGTGCAAAGATCACTGAAAGAATGCAAAAAGGAATATAAATTTGAAAGAAACCAAACGGGGTCCATTTGGACCCCGTTCGGGTTTTAAAGTTACAAAAAAAGTCCGGGTGTTTGAGGGTTAACTTAATCCTTTTAACGAACTAAAATAAATATTCCTTGAGAAAACTTGTAAAAGGTATATAACTTTGCTTTGTTTTATTGTATGTCTTTTTTTTCTTTATGCATTTTTCATCATATGCACTAATGGTCCTCAGTAATTGTGTACTAAATGTGGGTGCAGGGTATATTGCGTGCTTATCTAGTATGTTTCCTTTCTTCTTGCAGGTAGCTCTTCATCCACCTAATTGGAGGATATTATCGTAACAGGACTACAGAAACCCGTTTGAAGCCCGTGATTTCTATCAGCTTTTGTAATCTTTGCCTACAGGCAATACCAATCTAGGTACTCCATACCTTAAAGGCTAATCATTGTGGTAGAATACATGCGTAGCAACGTAGGCTCCTTTACACAAGGAGGTAAAACATATACTCAAGAAAGTACACAATAAAGAACACCTTGAAAATGCCTGTGTGGGCTCCTTTCTTTGTGGAAAGGTTAGATTTTACTAAGACTTTATGCATGCTATAATTACACAGCTTCACTTTTGCTCGTTTTTGACATCACCTACCTATTACACCTTACAACATACAAATGTAAACATCAGTTCAATTGTAAAACAACACACATAGACAAGCATGATAGTTAGTCCTCTTTTATTCCCACGTTTCCGACCCCATAATTAGTCCACCCCATACATATTTTTTAATTATCCATTATGATAACCAGCAACAATCGACGCTATAAGTCATATGTGGGTTTTAAGCTTGGGGTCTTAAAATGTGTAGAGACATCCGATCGGGGCATCAGTTACATAGATTATATATCAATCACTTTTTAAAAGATGTATACAGATATAGTAAGTTATGACTTGCATGTGGAGACTTGTTACTTTGGTTATATCATTAAAGCGGAAAGGGGAACATAAAAAGTTAACCCGATGGGAGGTCGAACCATTAAATAATTTTAATTTCATTTTAGAGCACATTTTCTCTTGAAAAGTGTTGATGAAAAAACTTTTTATAATATTTTTATACTATGATATTAGGTTGATGACTTTTAAATTACAATCTACTATTGTTAATAAAGTAATAATCTTAAACGTTACTAATACAATTCTCCCCTAAGGTTAAACTGGAAAGTAAGAAAAATACATCGTTGCGTAAATCTTAATTGTACACTAAACACTTCAAATGTAAACTTTTAATTCCACCCTAATAACATTATTTAAGTGTTGTGTAAATGTATTTTTATATACTATATATGAGCTATCAGCATATGAAAAAGGTCCCTTAGGTCTACAAGTTGATGATAAGACAGTTATAGAAACTTTAAATAACGTGCCTATTTTTTATCTTTTTGTGAGAACGCTGACTATCGGAAGTAAAAATTGTATCAATACGTAGTCAGAATGTCTTCATGCACTATATAGATGACACCGATTGAAAAAAAAATAAATACCATGCTAGTACATAGAAGTAATTAGTTTGCTTTTCGCAATATAATAGTGTAAAAAATAATGAAATGATATCCAAAAGCCTATAGCTATAATTTATATCGTATCTCCTTTTCAAACAAAACCAAAAACAACCATTTACATTATTATGCCACAAGACTTAAAACTTCAACATGTTTTGAATTGATGATAATTTAAATTGTATATTCAAAGCGATAGAGACCAAAGTCTATAAAATCAGATGCCACTGCAGCCTTGTGCCAATTTGTGTATTTGTATTTGTGTAAAGTTAAAGACATATAATGAATAATTTCTATCGGTGCGTTTAAATCAACTAAGTAAAGGAAGCAAAATGATTCTGAATTCAAATCGACCAATAAAATAACGCAATACAAAAGATTATTTTACACGGAAACGTGGTTGCCGAAAACAAGGCCGTCCCAGACAAATTGGTTGTTTAAAATGTGTATCCAAAATATAGGTGATAACCCTGGTGGTAAAATTGAATGAATGACCAATAGTGCTAATGCTAGCACCTGCAGACATCATTTATGGCCATTGCTCAGCCGGCTGCCGAAATCAGACAATTTTTGTTGTTGGGAGAGTCGCGAATGACGCTGGGGTCTGGAAAGCGGTTGGGCTGTTCGGCAACTCGGCTTGTTTAGCAAATGTTTTGATCTGGCTCGTAACCTGAGGTGATTGGTTGAGTGTTGTCAATTGACTGAATGTCATTGCCACATTTGCCACAATTGATAAAACAATCACAACAGTACAAGTCAGTGTAAGAGCAAGTGGGATGCCTACAAATCCAGGTCCAGGCCGTAACAGACATCCAGTTCCGTTAAGAAGACCGTCTCCTGTATATGCAGCATTACAGGTACAGATGGCGTCCAGTGCAGGGGCGGGGTTGTCTGTACAGGTGGCGTTTGCATGACAAGGGTTGAGCAAGCAGGCGTTGATATCTATAGATGGTGACATAAATTAATTAATCAGTATATAATTTGAACTTAACGCAGATGGAATTCAAATCTTAGCGCTCAGCAAGCTGCCTACATTGTACTTTAGGACGGCGACAGTATAGACTGACAATAACCTTTGGCCCCGTGCTCGCGTAACTCATTCAGACCTAGAAAGCGTGTCGACCTAGTGACTCGGTATTTTGTTAGTCTATAGACTATTATTTAGTTAAGGGTTAATGTCCCGCCCTTTCTCGGTGAATATGGTGTGATAAAGCCTTGTCAGTTGCTATAACCACAGAATAAAGCCACCAAGTGAGCGCAGCGAACGAGGTGGCTTTATGAGGTGGTTATAGCAACTGACAAGGCTTTATCACACCATATTCACCGAGAAAGGGCGGGACATTAACGTTATTATCATATAGCTTACACGATAGTCTATCCAAACTGATGCAGTAAGTGACACAATGCACATGCTGAATAGAACATAGAACATAGTTCCATCTGGAGTCACCTGAGGTCACTGGGTAGAGTTCACGTTAACTGGGTCACAGGCAGGGAACGGGTGTTCTTATGGAAGTCATCCGTGGTCATTGGAACACAACTTAGTTTATTTTTGGATTTTTTTTAACTAGAGCCGTGTTCTATTGGGTTACCTAAGGTCATATGCGGGTGATTATTGGGTTTGTTTAATGTATGGATTGGGATGAGTAAATACCCGATTTTGACTCTATTTGTGACATTACGGCGTCATAAGGAATGTGGAATGGAGCCTTCTGATTGGTCAACGTCACCCGGCTATATGATAATATAAAATAATGCTGAACTCAAAACATCATTATCATCATCATCATCTGGTCGTAACTCAAAACAGGTGGATTCTTATCACTTGATACTGTAACAACATCTTTGAAAAAGACGAGGGCCGTTATATATATATACTTCAACTTGCCTTTGGTTCAGTGATCTGAAAGTGACAGTTTAACCCAGTGGGTATTTAGTTACTCTAAAGATGACAATAGGGAAGTGGTGTTTATTGTTTCCTTTAATGCTTAGACCAATTCTAATGGTGCAAACTTGCAACCTCACATTCAGTTTCAGTTGCACCATGTGCTCTAAGCAAAAATAAAACACACAACACTGTCCACTTGTCTTCCTTAGATTAAGTGAATACACGACCAATCGATATGCGTCAGTGTCCGACAGTGTGAGGCCAACACTGGTAGGTAAAAGTCGATAACGGCCCTCGTGTTTAATAAAAATGTTGTGTTGACTAGAATTTAGGAAAAAGCCGTACCTGAACACCCAGAGCCGTTCACGCGACCGTCTCCTGAATATCCGACGTGACAAGTACAGTTGGCGTCCAGTGCAGGGGCGGGGTTGTCTGTACAGGTGGCGTTCGCATGGCACGGATTGGGCGAGCAAGAATTCACATCTGGAAATAGTGAAATTAAATGGTAATCATAAGAACGATATTGACATAATGTAAAAAGAATGCATTTAATAAAATGTACACTTTATCTTCGATTTGTCAATTAAAAATATTACATAATGTAACATGCGGTTGATACTTTACTAGAGGCTATGAAGAAACTAACCCTCCCCCCCAAAAGGATGTGTTTGCTTTGCAGTATACTAGTATTTTAAACCCGATTTTCGGTAACCACAAGAGTACATGCCAGCATAAGAATAAGTGAAATGTCTAAAAATTCCAATTCGGCTAATGGGCCGTAGCAAACATTAAGTTCAAATCTTCATTGTAGCAAACTGAAATTAGTGTACTTGACCAAAAAACAATATTGAGTTTTAAGTTCATTTACTTAAAAAAAAGTTAACATAAGGTGTGCTATGCATCTGACCTGTACATCCGGTTCTGTTGGCAAAACCGTCTCCTGTATATCCAACGTTGCAGGCACAGCTGGCGTCCAGTGCAGGGGCGGGGTTGTCTGTACATGTGGCCTGGGCGTGACACGGATTGGACGAGTTGGAGCAAGTGTCGATGTCTAAAGATGGAAAGATCAAATACTGATTTGACAACATCAATGATTTCACAAATGACGAAATTGAATCTCTCATTCGCATATTTTATAGACTGTCCATATTAGATACTGCGTAGGTAGACATTCCTTGTTTAACACTCTTTGTAACTTGGCGTGAGAGTGCCATTAGAAACACCAGGCAAGCTCCCTTCCACAAGCTGATGATGCCTAGAATGAACAGGAACTGTATGCAGAGATTTCTGGCTGTAGCCTGTGTCTGGGGCCATCATCTGGAACAGCATACCAGAGGATGCACAGTGTGCTCCATCAGTGAGAACTTTCAGACAGAGAATACGGTAGTCAAGAAATTTGATTTGCGGACTGATTTTGCGGACTGTGATTTTGGACATGATGTGATTATTATGTAAGGTGTTTAGTAATTTATTTTTGTATTAATTTGAATTTTATTTACTTATTTATTCTGTTCCCGTGATCACCCCCCTCAACTGGACCTCTGGGAAGAGCGGCTAAGGCCGACAGGGCATTTCCTGTATAAATAAAGGGTATTGATTGATTGATTGGTTGATTGATTGATTGATTGATTGATTGATTGATTGAATACCATCCGTGCACTATTTAGTGAGAATAATACCTAAACATCCAGTTCCGTTAAGGCGACCGTCTCCTGTATATCCAACATTACATGTACAGTTGGCGTCCAGTGCAGGGGCGGGGTTGTCTGTACACGTGGCGTTTGCATGACACGGGTTGGCCAAGCAGGCGTTGGTATCTAAAGATAGTGACAAAAAATAACAATCATTCAGTATTTATCCTCATTTCAATGCAGGTGAAATAAGAATCTAATTACTTAAACTAAGTCCTTAAAATCTTCAACGCAGACAGGGGGCGGTATAGACTTCTAATAACCTTTGACCCAGTGCTCGCGTAACACTTTCAGAAAGTAATGTGTCCTCGTTTACTAGATCTAAAGTAAGCAGAAGGACTGTGCTTCCTCTTGTAATTTAGTTCAGCCGTTTTTATCAGGCTAAGAATGCACGCAATACTAATATAATAATAAATAACTGTTCTTGGCTGTAAATTAGCAGACTACAATTAGCAAACTACAATTGACAGGCCAAATCAGTGTATGTCTCTGTACAGTTCAATCCATCTGCGTTTGTCTCTTGCTAAGTCTCTAGGGTATTTCAGTACGTGAGACTCGAGTCTGATGTTATGATTGAGATAGAGTTTACAGTCGTCGACAAGGCTACTAAGGAGACCTTCACGTGGTCTTCATTGTCTGGGTTTGAGTTTGAGCGGTGGGTGGAGTGACATCCCCCGGGCCATATATTCCGGCTAATCTGTCTAAAGCGACGGTCACAACCCGCCGTACGTGCTTTTTCTTCGTACGTTTTTTGGGAGGCTACGTCTGCTACGTTTTTTTCTGAAAACGTGGGGAAGGAGTGGCGTCTACGCACGTCACTCGCACGTCACTCGCATGGTTGCACAAAGTGTAAGAGTGTGGCCTGAACGAAAAGTCTGACCGTGAGCGGTTACGTGCATCGTACGTTGCGCAAGTTGTTAGTGAGTTGTACGTGCTTACAACGTACGATCTCTGTGCGATTGCAACTTTACCGTAAGGAGGCCGTACTCACATGTGCTTCTTCCGCACGGCACGTACGGGGCACGCGCGTCGCTAGTACTCGCACGCACGGTCGGTGAATCCGCAGACCGCACGTAGAAAAAGTTTTACATGCACTTAAAGTTCTACGGCGTGTCTGCGTGCTCCCAAATCCGTAGTATTCCGTACGGAGGCGGTACTCACCACGCACGGATGCCCTACGTTTGCCCACGTTTTTGCACGTAGACAACACGCAGAAGCACGTACGGCGGGTTGTGACCGTCGCTTAAAGTATGTCTCTTTGTACGCAATACTAACAGTATAAGGATTAAACTTAGAAAACGCTGTACCTGCACATCCAGTTCTGTTGGCAAAACCGTCCCCTGTATATCCAACGTTACACGTACATGTGGCGTCTATTGCAGGGGCGGGGTTGTCTGTACATGTGGCCTGGACGTGGCACGGATTGGACGAGTTGGAGCAAGTGTCGATGTCTGGAGATGATAAGATCAACTAATGATTGACAACTTCACCCATTTGACAAAGACTTAAATTTTAGATTGAATTACCTAAATCACCTGTCTTATGGACTCTGACTGTTATGCATACTGTTAAGTTACAAAATTATACCTGAGCATCCTGTTCCGTTCACGCGACCGTCTCCTGTATATCCGACGTTACAGGTGCAGCTGGCGTCCAGTGCAGGGGCGGGGTTGTCTGCACAGGTGGCGTTCGCATGGCACGGGTTGGACAGGCAGACATTGATGTCTACAGATGGTGACATAAGACAAAAAGTTTTAGCTGGAACGATGTAGATGGAACCCCATTATTTGCAACGAGATAACAAAAACAAGGGGGTCGGCATGCACCTGCAAGATCCGTGCTCTCGTCACACGTTCGGAAAGTAACGTGTAACTGACGTGTGGTAGGGTCATCAGTTATTATGAAGTAGACACTATGCTAGGACAGTGTTGTGAACTACCCAAAACCCACAAATTTGACAACAAGTTGGACATTACCTCTTCCATAGCTTACATAGGAGAAATCAAACCCTTCAGACATAGTTTTATACATAGCTATAGCTTTTGACTATTACTTTTTATTATGCAGATTTTGAAGTTATTTTGTACTTTGTGTAAATGTTCTTCATCTTTTGGTCTCTGCAATTAGCCTTCGGGCATGAATTTGCAATAAACTTATCTATTTATTTGTATTATTGCATTCTTTTATCAAAAGAGTTATAAGGTGTGGTACAACTGACAACGAATACAGCTTACCTTTACTTAATCTTCTTTCCGACTAAAAGCCAGATATGGCGTCTCGAACACTACCTGACCTTATATTTTGGTTAGGAGTAGCTAGGTGCAAAGAGAGCAACGTCGGCTGGGATAACTGATATTCGGCTGTTGTTTCAAAATGTTTAAACATTCGGGTGCGGGCCGGATTTTTGGTCTTGTTTGGTTGGAAGTAGACTGATAAGCGGAAATAGGTCACGGAATGGTTGGCTCACATTCGATTTAATTGATATACAAAATTAGGCCTGGCTTAAATCTGGCCTGTCTGCTCTTGAACTTCAGCCAACCTCGGTCGGCTGTTGTTTTTTAAAAAAAAAGGTCTTAGTTTGTGCCGGGGGCTTTAGTCAGTTAGGTCAGTCCCATAGCCTTGGGAAGAAGGGCCAGTCTGTCTTAATTCATTAGGCTATAAGAAAACGTCCTACCTGAACATCCAGAGCCGTTCACGCGCCCGTCTCCTGTATATCCAACGTTGCACGCACAAGAGGCGTCCAGTGAAGGGGCGGGGTTGTCTGTACAGGTGGCGTTGGCATGACACGGATTAGACAAGCAGGCATTGATGTCTGAAAAACAAAATAAAACCACATTTAGTTACATTATTTTTTTTAGAAAGAAAACATTAACCACACTGACGTTGTCCAAATTCTAACGATGGCTATCTACCAAAATTAAGTCAAGAATCTTTATATGATCTATTTCATTTGCATTGCAACATTTTGCCGGTAAGTGAATAATAGAATTTGCATACATGACATTTCTTTAAACGTGCTGACTAACCCACTGGGCCAACTGGGATGGTATAAGCCACAAAACACCTAAGGCCACACAAAATTTTATTTGTTGTTTCTCGGATTTTTTCAGAAAAAATGAAGCGACAGGGCGAAAAAAATAAACCAAGGCACCTCATGAAAGCCGGAAATGTTACAATATGAGCAATAAAGTGAACATACCGGGCCGGCTTATAATTGAAACAATAGATTTTGAACTTTTAATGAAACAAAATTGCATTGTTACATTGAAAAACTTGAACATCTGGGAAAAAAAAAGAACTTTCTTCGAGTGTTGGGGTCAAAAAATGTCTTTCATTAAGCACTTTGCAGTTAATTTCGAACACTTTTTTTGCAAATCAGAAACAAATAGACAGGGAAGACAATATCCGAGAAGCAAGAAATGTAATTGGTGTGGCCTAAAGAGTAAATTTACGGAGATATCCTACCTAAACACCCGGTTCCGTTTACGCGTCCGTCTCCCATAAAACCATCCTTACAGGTGCAGGTGGCGTCCATTGAAGGGGCTGGCTGGTCTGTACAGGTGGCCTGGGCGTGGCACGGGTTGGACGAGTTCGAGCAGGCGTCGAGGTCTACATGCAGACGATGGACAAAATGAACATTATTGAATTCAAGATAGGAGTCCTTAATTTTCTGTTGTAACGTCACAGTAAACACAAAAGTCATCTCAACTTTTTGAGAAGCAAATTAAAGTGTTTTATTACCTACTTTCTAAGTAGAGGTTTAGGCTTTCCCTTATTTTTGGCGTCGTTCAAAGCTTGTAATCTTTTTTTTTTACTGGTGCTCTCTAATCGTAAAGTTTATTGTTTTAATATATTAAATTATGACCAAATGGCTAAAACATTATGTCCAACACTATGTAAACGAAGCTAGACCTGCCCAAATTTCCGGCTATCTCTGTCTATTTTGTTCACGAAACGTACCCATCCTCTACAGCTTCCGTTACACGGGTTCATTCCATGACTTCAAGTTGAAAAAAAATTGTCCCAAATTACTTAGTGTTTGACATAAAAGTTAAGTATTTTAGCGCAGATTCCTTCATAAGTCTCCTAAAAGTCACAAAAGATTTTCGAGCTCCATACCAGTACAGTTGACACCGTTGCCTGAGTAGCCTGTGTCACAGGTACAGGTAAAACTGCCGGGTGTGTTGGTACAGGTGGCGTTGGTCCCACAGTTGTCGGTCCCCCTTGCACATTCATCAACATCTGAACAAAGAAAATATAAATTACATTATATATTACATATATTGCAATATGGGGTTAATTGGTTTTCGTTTTGTTTCTTGTCTTGTCTTGCAGTTGGAAACGAAGAAGTTTGTAGAAAATTGTGTAGAAAGAATGTGCAAACTAAAAACATTTTTAAGGGGCCCCCTAGAATACGATAAGTTTCATAATTATTTTTGGTCAGTTAGACATCTTTATCTCACATGCATTGCAAATAATCAACACAAAAAAACAAAGACGGAAAATCCACGAAGTCAAAATCATTACACAAGAATATTAAGTTATCGACGTAGTAACTGCCTAACTAATTAATGAAACAATACAAGCAATTAAAATATTAAATTTAACATAGAAAAACGTGAAACAATTTCATAAGTTTTTTTGCAAGTTATTATGCATAAGAACAAAGTATAAAGGTAGTTAAAATCAAATAAGGAAAATATCATTTTTATTTTAGATTACGATCCCCGTTCTTTTAAGCTTGTATAATCAATTCAAATATTTCTTATTAAAGTCATAAATCCATCTTGAACTTAAGTAAAAGATACAAAGGATCCCTTAACCGATTTAAATGTAATCTTATGATATTAGCCTGAATTATTGAGTAAATTGAGTGGGAATGGTAATCATTGATATCGTAAAGAACAATTTAAATAATTTCATTAGATTTGGGGTCTTTTAACCCCAAATCCTATTGGCAAAAGGTGATTCACTTTGTTTCTACCAGTTGTGCACAATTTTGGGGTAATATATGACCCAGATCGCTGTTTACGGCTGATACCTGTCCCTGTTAAGAAGTAGTAGTATTTTTGACCTAAAATCGCAAAAGTATTTTTTTTTCAGTTCAGGTATATTAGAAACCTTTACATAAGGTGTACGAACAACCATCTAAAGCTTTAAGAAAAACACAATGCATCTGACCTGTACATCCGGCTCTGTTGGCAAAACCGTCTCCTGTATATCCAACGTTGCAGGTACAGCTGGCGTCCAGTGCAGGGGCGGGGTTGTCTGTACAGGTGGCCTGGGCGTGGCACGGATTGGACGAGTTCGAGCACGCGTTGATGTCTACATACAGACAATGAAAATAATAATAATTGATTTCAAGAAATAATAAGCTTATTGATTTCAAGAGATGACATTTTTTTTATTTCAAGAAATGTCTGCAAAAACGTCACAGTGTACACGTCAGAACTACCTTTAATAAGCAAATGTTGCTTGAAGACAATATTACAATAGCGATTACAATAAAATACACGTTATTATTTCATCTATGAATATTGAAAAATATCAGTACATGGTTACAGAAGATTCATACAATTGACCTGATTGCCTGGGTTACATCCACAGGTACAATGTCAGGTAATGTTACACTAGTAAAAGAGTCTCAATGTGTGCTATCAATTATTTAGGCCTTTTTGGCGACGTCTCAGGGAGGAGCCTAATGGTACAGTATCGTGTGTAGTTTGCAAGAATTCTAGGAATAGTACAGGCATTTTGGCCACATGTATGGAATGTCCACAGGCATGTCTCTGACCCTCATTTATGCCCACATTTCTAGAAACCCTTGGGAAGACCTGTCTGCCCAGGATGGCCCTACTTTCTGTGACCCCGGGACTCGTTTACCATGGGAGTAGTGCACTGTATCTGTCTAGACTTAACAGGTACCAGGTCGTCCTCAAAATCATGAAATGATGGCAGTGCCATGCAAACAGTAACCCTAACAGCAATCACCGTCGCCATGGCGATGTATGTTTTCCTTGCCAGTCTTGTTCTAACTAGGATAGAATTGTCCAGATCTAGCGGAATCCATTCGTTTGATCCGGATCAAAGCCGGATATTTCGAAGTGAATCTATTCAACCTTGCACACCGGCGTACCTGTACATCCGGTTCCGTTAACCCGACCGTCCCCGGTATATCCAGTGGTACAGGAACAGTTGGCGTCAGGTGAAGGTGGTAGGAGGTCAGTACACGTGGCGTTCACATGGCACACATTGGACAGGCAAGCATCAATATCTAGATGCGAAAGAGAATAAACAAACTGTTGCAAAAAAGGGGAAAAGGTATCTGCTTCAGCATGTGTGTTTTTAAATTATACTATGGCTTTCGTATCAATGCGGCGCCTTGAACACACATAAACACACACACACACAGACACACACTCATACACACACACACACACATACGTGTACACGCACACACACACACACACAATAACATAGACGCACACACACAACACACACACTCATACACACACACACACAAACACACACACACAGAGACCCATACACACTCGCAAACAGAAACTCACACACAAACACAAACATACTCATACACACAGGCACACAGGCACACATACACTCGAACACAAATGCACATTCACGCACGCACACACACGCACACTCACACACAAATGCACATTCACAAACACACACACACACACACACACACACGCACAGACCCATACACACTCGCAAACAGAAACTCACACACAAACACAAACACACTCATACACACAGGCACACAGGCACACACTAACACACAGACACGCACATTCATACACACACATACACTCACACACAAATGCACATTCACGCACGCACACACACGCACACTCACACACACACACACACACACACACACACACACACACACACACACACACACAAACTTATATTTCCAACAATGCGTGCAGGACATACCGTACCTACTATGCCTCCGACCGTAGCCAGGTCAGTTCTCTGGTACCAACGCCCAGGAGGCCCTGGCACTGCCGGATCCGTCCAAGTCGGTAGACTGGCCAGATTTGTGGTCCTCGAGTACGGATGGAATGAAAAGTGGATGCCATTCCCTCCGTTTATCCCGACCTTTAAACAAGAGAGAAGCCAGGATGTTAGAATTTTCTTTTTGCTGCCAGAAGTGACTCTAACCTTGCTTACGGTCCGGTACAGACACCTTTCTGAGAGCTTCTGACAGGGGTTCTGTTTCTTGCCGCTATATGTAGCCGATACAGCAAGAAGCAAAACTCTATTCAGAAGCTCTGAGGAAGGTGTCCGACAGGCACAGAAACTTCATGCGGGACCCATATATATATATGGGTTGCACATACAGTACCATCTATATAGTGTCCTGTGTATGTACGATTTGGGGGTGTTTCTCGTGCAACACATCACACCGCAGCGAAACGCAACGAATGCAGAAGTTACTACGCCACCGCAGGGCAAAAAATGGCAAGGGTCTGTGACCTGATTACGACTTCAAATTACTTGAAAATAATGTGTAAAAAAAGTCCAGCAGGACAAGGGAAGGTGAGAGTCTTTTCTGATTTTTAAGTTTCGAAAGACACCAAATAAAGAGTTTTACTTTGCAAAATGACATCATATTTATTTCAGATAGCTAGTCGCCCGTTACATTGTCAGCTCACATGGAAGGGCTGCCTTGCGAATGCAATGGCCAACCCGAAAAGGTGAATGAATGCGCATTGATGAGCCCCGATTCAAATCGGATGACACCCAGGGTAAGTCGAGTTTTTTTTAGAAACGATCAGCTTTGCCGCTTTGCATACAAAGTTTATCATTGTGTCTTGCCACTACACGACGCCCAGGAAAATGGGCTTACACCAACAAATTTAAAAAAAAGCATCAGAATTAAAACAGTTCAGATTCAAATCAAATCAAAATGTAAGATTATGAAAGGTCATCTGTATTCAGTAGTAATTGTTGTAAAAGGTTGAACTTTATTCTAGCACAAAGTTCCACAGAGATAAAATTTACCGTGTCAGAGAACGACAAGGCAAGGGACCTGCGAAAGATCCTTTTTTTTTGAGACAGAACACTCACAGACTACAAGATTCTTTTTTTTTTATTACGAACGCGCCAACACATCCACATGGAATCACCCGGCCATACCGTCTCCTTGGACAAAGTACTCAACACTGCACCTGGCTACTTTTGAATAGGCATTAAGGAGGCCATATATATCAGGGCACTCCAAGTCTCGCGTGAATAAGATCACGTTTCTGTAACCGTCACTCTCGCGAGATTACGTTTTGATGTGATTGGTCATTAATTACCTTGAAGGTGACAAGGGTCGCTGAAAATTTAATTTTTGTGTAACTTTGTGTTGAAATAAAGTTCAATATTTTACTACAAAATGTAACATTGGGGGTAGCTGTACAGACATAGATGGGGTACTAATTAATGCGCACAGTACAAAGTTGACTCTACAGCAATGTTAACAGCATTGAAAGTATGCTTTGCAAAGGTAGTGGGTAGCACAATTGGCACATACACATAATAAACTCAGCAAGAAGAAAAGCAAACGGGTAAACTAGGCAAGAAAGAGAGGAACAAAATAAAAGTTTAAATGTGCGTACCTGTGCGAGCCTGGTGGTACGAGTCAGGTAGTAGTTAAACAGGGCGAACGACTTTTGGCCATCTGTAATCAGCACCAGCTGAAACGTGTTGCGCTAAAGAGGAGTAACAAATATATACATATTATAATAAATGTTTGAAGCACAAACTTATTTGTGTTACTGTTAGCCTCTTTCGCAGTCTTGTTGACGGTCGGCGTTTCACACTTAACAATTTACGCCTGACATCGGTGAGTCCCGATTTTTCGCAAAATAGAAACATGTAAAATTGATTCATTTCTTTCTCTTGCACATTTTAAACGACGCTCATCCAATTAAAAAAAATTGTTGGTCTCCATCTTCTGTAGATAGAGAGCTAGTGTTATAAAATATCACATGTATGTGGAAGAAATTGTTTTTAGTGCTATATATATATATATAACCTGTGGAGACAACAAAAACGTTATCTCAAACTTATTGTTTCATAACAAAGCTGGAAATTAATTTTCTCATACTACACACAAGGGAAAAAACACGATTTTTCTGTAAACTACAAAGAATATGACAAGTTTTGGAAAAGGTGGGACATTATAAAAGTTAAATCTAGACTCAGATATAGCACTGTAGTAGTTCCAGACCACTACCTTTTCTTATGTAGATTTTATAGTTATTTTGTACTCTGCTTCAAATTTCTTCTTGTTATTTGTAGTTAGTATTTTCGCAGGAATTAACAATAGACGTTATCAATTATTTGACTTACTATACTACTATAACTAAAGAATGCAATGTCGTGCCAGGTGGCAATGTAGACCCAGGTCGCCACGAAGCTTCCATGTTCGGCGGGGAAGGCTGTCCTGATGTCCGTGGTTGCCCTCGCCAATAGACCAGCATCAGTCGTTTCCCGGTGGTAAATGTAACCACTCCGGGCTTGGTAGCTTGTAATGAGGTCGGTGAAGTAAACGGCGAGGAGTCTCTTACCAGTCGTTGGAAACGCCACTGGTGAGAATCCTCTGTACTCGCTTCCGAAAGAGATGTCACCATTGGTATTGACCTGGATGCAAAAATACAAAGCGGACATTCTATGCCACAGTCCAGGACTATGCTGTAGACATTGCCATTGGATGGAAGCCGTTATTAGTGCAACCTGCAGACAACCTGCCAGTACGTCTGAGTTTGAGGTTTGTGATGAGCGGGTCACCGTTACAACCTAGGTTTTGTGGCATTAGACCACAGCAAGTATTTTCTTACCTCCATGAAAAATGGAGGTATTGTTTTTGGCGCGTCTGTCTGTCAGTGTGTGTGTGTGTGTGTGTCTGTGTTTCCGCAAATTTGTAGTCAGCATAACTCTATAACGCCTTTATGGATTATGAAATGAAATACCTTTATTGTACATCCATGCCACGACGGGCTAGGTACAGGTGAAGATATAACAGACACATAACAAACATAGACAAAAGATGCACTACTTGACTTAGACACACATAAAAAAGGAACATACAAGGGTACTATACTAGTCACTGAGCTAATATAGAGAGGTCAACTTCTTCTCGCTTTTTTGTACAGTGGAAAATGTGGGAGCAGATCATGTTTGTGATACAGGGTTTGTCTAGACGCATCATAAATATAGATTTATCATTTGCGCTTAGGTGTTCAAAGTATGGGAACTTCTCTTTGATATAATTAAAAAGGACAGATCTTTCATTAGAATATAAAGTACAGTCTAAAATAAAGTGTTGTTCATCTTCTATTCTATTCATGTTACAGTATCGACAGAGTCTATTCTGGAGAGGATGCGGTTGTGCTTTCCCGTTTCAATGAGTAATTTGTGGCAATTTATTCGGAGTTTAGTTGCAGTTACCCTGTGTTGTATGTTGTTGACCGATAGGTACTCTTCTTCTTTATATATACTTTTAAACAAACGGTACGTTCGTAACTTGTTACTAGAAGATGTTGCCTCTGTTATGGTCATTGTGGATTTCATTGATAAATGTTTGGGTGTAAATATCTTTCAATCGTTGGCTGATGGAGTTAATTATTGGTGATAGATTTGTGCTAAGAGATATATCAGGACTCCATACGTAAGCAAAACCGCATTCCTCCAAAGTTGTACGGATACCGGACGCCCAGCATTTATGCCACTAGTCTCTAGTTGTAGTTGACATGAGAGGGCGTCCGCTTCAGACTGTCAGCCTCTGATTTAATGTTTTGTTTCGTACTTCGATGCAGTGATATGTGGTGCTAGCTGTGTATATGGGATGTTCCCATTGATTCAGAATCATTTGTACAATGATCGAGTCAAATTATTAAAATGTAGGAACCTTGTTTTTTTCGGTCCGCCTTGTTTTTTTTCACCCGCTCGCATTAGATTTGGAGTTTTTGGGTCGATGTTATCCATACAATTTTGTTGTTGTGGCCTTAGTACCTGAAGAAGAGAAGCAGTCAGAACTGGCGCGTCGCAAAAAAACGATATTGGGTTTTCCCCTGGTTGATGCGAAGACCCGTGTGTGGACTTTATACTCGTGATAGAGCTCACTCGTGATAGAGCTACGTCGAGAACATCATTGCGACTTTTTTTAGTCCTTCCTGCGAATGTCCGATATGACCACATTCTTCTAAACACCTGATTCACTGGTCACTACACGTGACATCGATCACAATCTGACAGGTCTCGCCCGGACGTCTCGTGGGACCAGGGCGATACGTTTACGGCTTCACCCCGGCGCATTTTTCTGACCTGGGCCCGGAGTTATTTTAAATTTTAATGGTGATTTTAAGTAGCCTAGGTACCATCCGGATTTTCGCCTGGCCTCGTTGATTTTTCCAGGCTAGAATTTAGGTCAATTCGGAGCCCGCGCGGGTCAAAAATAGGCATATACAGCTGTAGGGGACCCCGCCAGTCTCCGTACGATGGGTCCAATAAACAGCCCGCCGACGCGCCGCGCGGGCCCCAATTCTCTATTGTTTTGCTGGGGTCACAATTCCCACACGGGGCCCGGCCGGGCAGCTTTTGGGAACGAAAAGTACGACAAAAAAAACAACAAAACACAGAAAAGTTGTTAATAACAATAATGGGCACAATTTCTGTAAATTCCGGGCCCCGGAAATGTGACCTAAGCATTACCTGGGCTTAATGTGCATAGGGCTAAAGAGCACTTATGCAAATAAGAGAAAACAGCACATTTGTCAGTCTATCGAGGTGGGGTGGATTCCCTTCGGTGCTGCAAAAGCTCTTCTCCGACAGACTCAGCTAGGTTTCCCGTAGGGATTTCAATTAGCAACTGCCGGCGTGCAAAACGTCTACACTCCGGGCTGACTGTTACTGAACGGGGGAAACTATTAGAGCCCTGAAGAGAGCGCAAGCCTTCCCTAACCACGATAGACTAGATCTAGATACCAGACTGAATCTTCGCCGGAGGCAATTTTCTTAAATCTTTTGTTGTATTAGCATATTGCCCTTGCCACAGGGTACGGCGCACTTACGTAAAGTGAACTGTAGGTATTTCCAAAGAATGGAAACGGAGTGCTGAGGCTCTGTGCTCCCGATGTGCCGTCATCAATGGGAGGGTCCAGAATGTCTCCAGTACCGGGTCCGTACGGGTAGAAGGCAGCACTGCTCACTGGGGTTATCTAAAAGGCAATTGAGATAGGTTTGTGGGGTAAGGTGGCGTAACGACAGAGTGTACGGCTCAGAGCCAAGAGGTCCCGAGTTCGATTCCTGCCATGCAACCGATACTGTGCCCTTTACATGACTTTCTACCACTTAATTAACTCTGGTGAAATGAGTATGTATTTTTATGCATTTGGCCTCTGCGTCTGTTGGCATATCCATGTCTTGTAATACATTTGTACATGTTGGACTACCAGTTGGAGCTTAAAAAATTAGAGATAGAAAGATATGGACTACGTGTATTTAAATAAGTGTCTCGCCATCCGCTATTTACAATTTCGAGGAATATCTCAAAGGTTTGATTATGAATGAAACATTTTTTAATGGGTTTCGCTTATGGGATGGGAACTGGTCCTTTTTGGTTAAGGTACAAATGTATTTAGTCATTCATCTGAACATATCAATTTCAAGAGGGACATTTTCATATAATAAAATATAAATAGTTAGAAAATTTAAAAAAAAAATTGATAAAGTAGAGTCAATTCCGCGTCACCGAGGGGTTGTTATTAGCATTATGTAGAAATGTTTTGAATTCTTTGTAATTGTCTTAGAAATTTCATAATTTGGAAATATTTTGAACATCTTGTCAATATTCACTTGTTATAAACTTGCTTGAAATATTCCTGATGTGGATTATGACATTTCCAATAATTTCTAAATATTTCTAACAGCACTCTACCATTTTTTTTACCATTATTTCGAATTATGTCTAACATTTTGTAAATAGGTCAGTGGGATGGGAAGGAAGTAATTCACACATCCCTGTGAAGTACAGGGTAAACTGCATGGGCATCAGGCACTGATGCCTTACAACAAAAGAGCCACCAGTGTCCAGCAGTGAAATCTTAAAAATATACAGAAGAATACAGAACAGTAGGATTAGCACCTAGTTTTAAGGGGGCAATTACCCACATCTACCATTTGGTTATTTGTTTGAAATATTTCTAAATATTTCGAATAGTGAAAGAAACACATGGATAGTTCAAATTTATTCTGAATAAGGAGATCTTTGTACAGTCACTTTCAAAATTTTTCAGAAATATATAAATGAATTCAAATTTATTCAAATTTTTATTTTCTAATTTTTGAAAAATTTAGAACTTTTGTTACTGGGGTATTCTTTTCTTCTAAATAATTCAAACGTATTAGAAACATGGAGAAAAAAAACCCGGTGACGCGGAATGGACTCTACATGTATATGCCAATAAACTAAAATGAAAAAATGTACTGTATATATTTAAAAAAATGATATGAAAGTTGATTATGCAACCTCATTTATTACAGCAATGACTCAATGAGTCAATGTTGATAAAAATCTACAAAACGGCTGCAACAGAATGAAAGTATTTTCTAATGCTAAAATATATATGGCAGCCAATGAGATTCCGTACATTCAAATAAGGATTAGTTAAAATACTTAGAATTAAATATTCAGATTCTGTGTCTCTATTCTATGTATAAATATTTTATTGGTATGAGAATATGAAACAGGCTCAAAAACTTAAGGAGTGCCACAGTATCGATCTATACTACTGATTCGGAATTCACACTTTTCAGTACTGACGACACATACTACCGTCTGGGTAACATGACCTGAGCGGGAAATTCAAGATGGCGGACTAGGAATAATGTTGCAGACGTTTTTAAAACCGCTCAATAAGGTCTGACCTAACGGCACCTCTTTTTTTTTACTGCCTGTCATTATAAACAAACCAATCTTACATGTTTTTCCTTTTATCGTAGGTATGCAAGTATTGAACCGCGTACAAAAATGCGGATTGCAAAAAAAGATACCCCCCCCATTTCCAAGTAGATCGGGGGGAGAGGACACAGTCGGCTGGTACCAGGATGAAAAAATAAACACGTTTGCAACGCCTGTGTAAATGTAGCCTTCCTTGGGCTACAACTGTACTTTGAGGATCAGCAATTATCCAAATGTAGGACAGTTCAATCACCTCTGAAAACAAATACCCCCATACAAAATACCTGTCCCTAATACTACTTAATGTGGGTTTCCAATATTCCTGGTCGTGATGTGGATACAACCTAATCCTACTCTAAAGTCTTACCCTATGAAGAAAAGTGACTAAAACTCAAATATTAATCGTAATTCTAAGACGAGCGCTAAATTTCAAGCCAGCGCACGCACTGTCCTGACAAAGAGAAATGGGTGGGCCAAAACATCGGCGTCACACAGGGAAGTATTTAAAAGAAGGTCATGTTTTCAGAGACCTTCGTGTTTGTGTCCGTTCTGTTTGTGTGTTTCTCCAAATACGATAACCTTAGAAGGATTGAATTAATTGTCTTGGTTATGGTGGATAAGTAGATGCTGATGACGCCTAAAAGAATGGTTTACCTACTAGTATTTGCCATACAATGTACCCTGTACAATTGCCGTGCAATAAAGTTCTTCTTTGATTTGACCCCCCCCCGAAGGTTTTTTATGGTACAGCTGTAGAACTTCCAGTTTTTAAAACTCAAGATGCAAACATGTTAGGGTCACGATTTTTCATTGTACGTTGCTATTGTGCCGGGAAGATGTAAATAGTGGGAATGTAATACCCCAAAGGCAAATGTACTTTGTTCTCCTACCCCAAATTTCAGGTGCGATTTGTGTGGATTCCTTAAGAGTTTTTTTTCAATTCATATATCCAAGCAATACGTACATACACTGAACCACCCAGTACCGAATAATTCAAATCATAACAAGTCCTTGACCATAACAATAATCATAACAATTAATTCAAATCATAACAAATCATTGATAAAAGCAACTGTCGTAACAATAGTTCAAGTCATAACAAATCCTTGATCATAACAATAATTCAAATCATAAAAAATCCTCGATCATAACAATAATCATAACAATTAATTCAAATTATAACAAATCATTGATCAAAGCAGCAATAATTTAAATAATAACACATCCTTGATCATAGCAATCTCTCTTGTTTGTTTTTGTTTGTTTTTATTAGATCTCCATTAGTGTCCAACTGACCACTATTCTTCTTGGAGTCCACATAAAATTCAAAATTATAACAACAGAAATGTACAGAATTCAACTCAATATTAACATAACTTGAATTGGGCCGTTGTCGTCTTGCCAGACGATCTGCAGCCTAGCAATAATCATAAAAATCCTAATAATCATAACAATGATTAAAATCATATCAATTATTTAGACTTTAAAACCACACAACATAATAAGATGTTAAGCAGGGTAAGGAAAAATGCTTGTAAACCTACTTGAGCTGAAGTCACCGTCAGAGAACCAATCAGACACACAGACAGAAGAAGTTGCCACATCTTCTTGATTCGCTGTGATGTTGAGTTGACTGTGACTTCAGTGTCTATGGGTGGTGGTACGCACTATTAAGTAAAAAAAAAATACGATGAAAAATATTTTACGGCTCTTGGTGGCAAATATGCAGGTGTTGACACATAGTCGCATGCAATTTGTGGTTTTATTGTCCACACAGTACCTGTGCAGTCGCAGCCTTTATACGGCTAAATTGATGCAGGGTATCACATAATAATCAATACAGATTACAACAATCAAATAATACACGAAACACATATTTGCTCCACAGATTTTTGTCGAATATTTCAAGGGTCTGGACAAGGGTCTGGGTTGCTTCATTTCGGCACAACTTTTCCCAACCGAAGTCAGGTACGCATTCACACCTGGGTGGAGTGAGGAAAGTCGTGTAAAGTGTCTTTCCCAAGGGCACAACGTCGGGGCGCATGTCCAGACATGTCCCGGGTACGACTCGGAATCGAACCCGGGTCTCCCCGCTTCATAGTCGAACGCTCTACCACTACGCCACCCGACGCCACTTATATGTTTTGGCACCCATTAGGAAATATTAGCCACTCCACCATCGGGGAAAGGAAGTAAGTTTTAAGGGTATTTTCCAAGGGCACAACGTCGGTATTTCTGCTAAGTATTGAACCTGGGGACCTATTAGTCCCGAGTCCATCGCTCTAGCCGTTGCGTCACCGGCGTAACTACGATGAGTGTCATTTAATTTAAAAGAGTGTAAAGTTCTAAATGATTTCAACGGTAACAAATACGACAATAACTATAATTTATTGAAACAACAAAGTACAAGACATCGTACAAGACACAGAGGTGGAATCTCTAGCCGAAGCTAATATTAATCACACCCCTGACATAGAATACAAATTACAGGTATAACAATGACAATACAACAAGTGAGCGTTCGTATATACAAGACTAACGGCAATATAAATCATTAGGCAACTGTAAAACGTTGGGTATTAAGTATAAAGGTTTGAGTAAGGATCAGAATTTTTTTGTTAACGTCAAGACGTAGAAGGGGCGAACCCCTCAGTAAAAGATTAATGCTGCCTTGGTCAGACAAGTTGTGCAAGTCAAAAGTAGAGCCAACTAGGCTCTGTAGGTTGCTGAGAAGGGTCACTCTATACAAGTTGTGTACAGGACAATAACTGTTTTCGTAATTTACAAACATTCGCTAATAATGTTGACAAAAAGACACAAATACAACAATTTATGACACAATTGTTTATCTTAAAATTTTCTCCAACATTACCATGCATGCTGTGTTTTATCATGCCCATTAAAGCGAGCAAACCGGATTTTCTGTCACCTGCGTTAGACAATTCCGCACTGCCAGGGGCTAATTTTCTACTTTGCTGCGGTTTAATCAGGCGTCACCATAAAGGAAATGATCCGTGCAACTCGTCAAAAGACCATCACCTGTGTTTACTGGTTTAATGGATCATTTTATTGTCCAACTGCAAAGTTTTTCTTATGAAAAAAAATCACCTTAAAAGAAGCTTACAACCCCTTTCTTGAATGGGAGGGTCTGCTTTGAAAAGATTTCTTTAGGCATATTCACAAATTTAACGGATGACATCTGAGACCCTCGAACTAGGGCGCGCGAGAGTATAGAAAACCCAAGACAAAAAAAAATGCTACAAAACTACAGGGATACAAAGTTGTTATTGTGAAGCTACGGTAGTACATAGTGACTTTTACGACAAGTCTGTACATGGTAGCCTTTTGCTGCATTTATGAGTCGGCACCGTAATGAGTTATTGAGTTCCGTGGAGAGTCGGCAGCCTGGCTCATCCATAAAATAAAACCAGCGCGGCCTTACGTGAAAAAGGAAACACATTTCCGGGCTCGTTTAAATACGATTATGAGTTTTAAGGAGGTTGATTGGACGTATTGTGGTGTAACTGTCTCACTGTCTTTTGTCTGTGACAAAACTGTTATTACCGATCTATTCAAAGTGACTGGATAAGTCAGACAGCAGGGCTTTGTCTTTTAGTACTTCGCCGAAGGGTATGCGATTCGTAAATAGTAGTCTACGTTTTGATGAAAAGGAAATCTTACACTCAACCATGGCAATAGACTGCCTTCTGACGTTGTTATTTTGTTACAAATCTAATACAATACTGTGCTACCAGTATTAATCTTACATCCGCTAGAACAGTTTTTGAATCAATTGTCGAATGGCATCAGGGCAGATTTCACTTTACGTTGCGTAGTAGATTGTAGTCCCTAGCTAGTATCTTCAAAAATCCTTTTCTCTCAAACGCTTTTGTCCAGTTTGTAGATTTTTGGGCTGGAAGGAACAGACTAAACTCCCCTACCCTCATCAAATTGTCTTCATTTCACCAGTTAAGTGGTCATAATGACAGACCTGGGTGATGAGGTCTGGCCTGCTCAGGGCGGATGGATACATGAGAAAAATAGGGTTTGTTTACCTTTGTCAGCTGTTTTTCAGAGTTTGAGCTGGTTAACCCCGTGTTTTTCGTCTATGTTTAGGAAGCAAAAATCTGTGGCTCTTTGGTGCAGAAACTTGTTTTTTTTTAGATTGTATTGTGAGAAAGTGCTTCCATTAGTACTTGTGTTAGTAGTGTATTGAACCATATGTTTCTCTGGCCAAAGAAAATAGTACTTCAGGAGCCGATGCTGCTACAGACAGGTCCCGCCAGGTCGTTCTGTTTACTGTGCAGACCATGCAAGATCGGTCACTGACCCCATATTGCCCCTGAATTGTGGGAAAAACTTGGCCTTACCACCTCGCCAATGGGCGGCCACTAGCTAGGGCACTGCCTTGTAGTATCATTTTTACTTGAGTTAGGTAAGAGACCAAAACGTTTCGTTCGGCTGTGCACAGGTGTTAACATGCCAACCTGTCCGGATCATCGGGCGGGCCATTCCAGTGATACAGGCCTAGGGGCAAATTCCAGTTGTCTAAAGACTGTACCATTTTTTTTGTTCAGAAAACTAAAAACGCCTCAATAACACCGTTTTTTTTTCTTATTTTACGTGTTGCGGTCTACGAATTGCGGTGTTAAAGTTAATATCACATCAACCGATCATGGTATCAATGCTAGGGTCCCATGTTCTCAAAAAAGGGTTCAGTAGGACAGTTTAAAAGAACGAAAAGTGTGATATAAAGAAGAAAACGCCCTTTTTTTAAATTTTTGGTCATTTAAAAAGAAATGGAAAGGCCCTGGCTTGGAAATGTGACGTTTGTGAAGCAAGCACCACTGAATGTAAGAAGAAAAAATTGCTCATCAGCGTACAGCTAATCATGCTAATCAGCATGTTTAGAAATAAACAAGGATCGTTATAACAATGCAACAGCCACTCAGAGACGCTGCCCTAAAAACAGACTGTTGCAGATGAATTCCACTTTATATTTATATGTCCAACGTATATTAAAGAAAGGCAGCCACTTATGAACCCCCAAGCAAACATAAGTTGTATGGCAAAAAGCATTCTGGCCACACTAGGGCCCTTTCCAACAAGGAATTTGGATTACATAATAATGCACAGAGGTTATACATAATTACAAAGTAGATGATTATGATGTGGTCACTAGTGTGCTTTATCAACTATTGTGCAAAGAAAGTTTACGTACCGATGTAAGATGAACTGGCCAGGAAACTGCCTAAAACAAAAGGGATCGTCTAGAGCACAGTGTGTACTCTGTAGTCTGTACGTGTCTGTGTGGCTACTGGGCGGCAGGTGGAAAACCTGTTTGACCGCAGGACGACCCTTTCCGAGAAAGCTTCATGCACCGTGTAGCATTCGTAAACTATTACATCATACTCATACGGCGGCGCTAATTTCCTTCTCGTAAAAGGTCGTAAATGCCATATCGCAGAACGGCTAACGTTAAATAATAATAACTTTATTGCGCAACAATTGTACAGTGTACAAAGTATGGCATCTACTAACTTAAGTAAGTACATGTCAACTACATTTTCATAAGGCTAATCTAATACAAAAGTGGGTGGCTAGTATGAGCACACCTTACTGTTTCTTGGCGTAGAGGGCTAAAATATACACCACATAGGTTAGGGTTTTAGATATAGAAGCTTGCGTGCTACGCCAAAGGGCGATTATACCTGTGTTGTAAATACAGATATAGAATCTGGTGCGTGTTTTATACGCCGAATTATAAGGACGATTAAACCTGCTATGCAGATAGATATAGAAGCTGGCGTGTTATGCTGAAGGGCGGTTATGCTTGCTATATATTATACAGAATCTAGTGTGTTACGCCAAAGGACGTTATACCGGCTATACCGATACAGAAGCCGGTGCTTTACACCGAAGGGCGGTTATACTTGCCATATATACGGATACAGAAGCTGGTGTGTTACGCCGAAGGGCGGTTATACCGGCTACACGGATACAGAAGCTGGTGTGTTACGCCGAAGGAGGTTATACCGGCTGTACAGATACAGAAGCTGGTGTGTTACAATGTACGCGAAAGGGCAGTTATTCCTGATATTTAGATACAAATAAAGAAGCTAGTGTGTTACGCTGAAGGGCTGTTATGCCTCCTTTACAGATACAGTCATCGGTAACTGTGTCAATCTTGGTGTCTAAATAGCTAGTGAGGCTGTTGGAGACAACACAAAGTACAACTGACTTGTACCCCATGCCCTCGCTTTTTTTCTTCCTGCAAACAACAAGAGAAGTCCTAAACTCTCAAGCTTTTAAATACTTACAAAAGAGAAATGGCTGATTAACTAAAACTACATGTTTATACATGAGCTACAGAGTAAAACTTACAGAATAATTACCAAATATGCAATATTTATGCAATTATATATGCAAATATGTCCTTGTTAATGCTTTTACTATACAATTACATGTACCAGCAAGTTGCGACCTTGTCAATATTCATTAAAATGACATTATTCTTAAACTGTCGTATTTTTTGTCTCTTTTGTTATTCTTATTTAAATATGTGAACATTTTTGCTTTCAGAAAGCAATCTTTTAAGTGATTCGGTCTTCACATTGATGTGTTTGTCATTTTACCTATGTGAAGCTGAAGACATCGCCAGGACATTCAAGTCGCACAGGTCGGAAAAAGTACGACCGAGGAGGTTAAAAAGGGGAAAAGGTTTGTAAAGTGTATCTCACCAGTCTGCAACTCTAGAAACTGAAGCGGCATCAGTTTCACCATCATTTTTTGGAACTAAACTTTGGCACGACCCGGGATCCGTAAGTATTCGCGTTTTGGTTCAGTGAGTCTAAAAAAGTTTATCTTCTCTCTGTGTGTTTTTATGCGAATTCTAAAATCCATTTGTTTCATAAACAAATGGGCCACAGCAAGTAATTTTTATGGATGACATCGGCGCGCGCATTAATTTTCGCCTGATTTTGAAAAAAAAAACAAGAAATTTTGTTGCCTTCTGACGTCATGACAGTGGTCAACATGCCAAAAATGGGCAAAAATGTCTGTTGCCATGGCGGAAGGTGGATGGCAGATAGCTATGAAGATAGGAGACAAGTAAAGGCTCTAATCTTAATTTAATTAAATGTACTTGCTGTGGCCTAATATGCATTAGGTTCCAAATCCTGACGAGGGGGGAGGAAGTAGACGAAGAGGAGGTAGAGGGCGATGGGAGGAAGCTGCAACCTCGACAGATGGGGCGACTCCCTGTGTCCCTTCCGCTATCGGGTCCGGTGAAAAGAGGCCCAACCCCGACGGCAAGAAACCTATCAAGAAGAATCCAGTCACAAGCCCCCTTTTTCCGGTGTAATGGTCAAATCCTTACATGATACTAAGTACTAATAAGGAAAAGAAGAGACTACAACAAGAAATAAATATTTACTTCAACTTTGCTAGGTTAAACGTTCGATTACACAATGTATTGTAAAGAAAGACATTGTTGTTTTCTTGTTCCTTGCTAGGTGAAAAACATCGCCAAGAAGGCCTACAAACCAATAGATGGAAGAATTGCGTGGCGTCAGTGCCTCATGTCAACTTGCCCTCGAGTCTCATCTGAAAACCTCCAACACTATCAGACGGACACTACGCTGGTTACCAAACGAGCCAGAAGCAAACTGCAAGGCCCTCCACGGCTCTTTACCCCTAGTGCAACTTACATTTCCCTGTAGCCCCAATGGACCTTTCCGGTCGAACAGCGTAAGCCCCGCCCCCTGTTCTATTTCGAACATCTCGGTCAAAAACAGCGCGGGAAGGACCGCGCAGGCCGTCGCCGTCAGAATGTCGGTTTTGCCGCTCAACTTTAGGGTCGAGTTAACGGCAGCGAAAAACTCTCAGAAGCCTCCAAAAGGAATTATGCTTTCTTTGTTGAAGTACACACCCACAAAGTAAAACTTATTTGAGGAGGGGACAGTGTTTATTTAACGAGAGCAAAATGTTTGAGCTAAATGCGGACGCGGGATGCAACGCATAACATCAAAAGGTAGCTAGGCTGACAAGAGTACCCAGTTGCTGACAAACAGCCGATGCATGTGTTGCTCAGAGTACATTTATCTGTGACTGGTTTTCCACGGCATTTGCTGCATGCATCGGAGCTACATACAAGCCAGCAAAAAAAATGAGAAAGAAACAGCTTGGGTGGTCACGAGGAAGGGACGAGGAAGGGCGCAACTTATAAAGGGCTTTGAGATACAAGTACGTTCAAATGAAGTAGTGGAGCAGTTAACATCAAATTTGGGAGGAATCTTTCAAATTGTGATACAAGCACCAAACTTGGTACAAATACTCATGAGACATTACTCTTTTGAAAAAGTACGCGGGCCACTTGATTTGACTTTTGGCGCCCCTTAGCGGCGCTTTTTGGTACTGCAGCCGACCTTCCGGGCTTTGCATGTTCTGTTCTAAACCGCCTACAGTCGTGATTTTTATGTGGTAAAAAGGTTTTAAAGTAAGGAACAAGTGATGTAAATTTGGTGTCTCTATCTGCTTGCGTTGGAACTACACAGGCGTTTTTTGCCGGTGCACAATTTGCTCCAAGGGCGCCTTTTTTTGCTTCGGATGGTCGGCTGCAGTACCAAAAAGCGCCCCTGGAGCAAATTTTTGCACCGGCAAAAAACGCCTCTGCAATTCGAACGCAGAAATCTAGAGACACCAAATTTACGTCACCTATTCCTTACTATAACAGCTTTGTACCACATTAAAAACATGACTGTAGCATGTTTACAATAGAAGATACAAAGCCCGGAAGCTCGACTGCAGTACCAAAAAGCGCCAAAAGTGAAATCAAGTGGCCCGCGTACTTTTTCAAAAGTTTAATGTCTCATGAGTATTTGTACCAAGTTTGGTTCTTGTATCACAATTTGAAAGATTATTTCAGTTATCTGCCCCACTAAATTGATGCTGTCAATAATAAGGTTATTATCATCCATGTCTGCTAAATAAATAAATCACTACGTCGGAGAAAATATTCAATGCTAATTCAGAGAACCCAAAAGCTTACAGCTAACTTAATGAACATCATGGGAAACAGAGCTAGTTATAATGCTTCAATCTTAGTGGACAGGGATGTGAATCAGCATGTGACTGCTTATGTCCACAATGTCCCAAGGGTTTCAAAGAATTCCAATAAGAATGTGGGCATATGTAAGAGTCAGTGAATTTCGAGAGCTGTGAGGCATTCCTGAGGACGAAAATTTCTGTGGATAAAATTCCCGTTAAAATTCCAGAATTCCTGCAGAATTCACTCAGCACTGTATTATTAGGCTTCCCCCTGAGGCATCACCAAAAAAGTGACTGCAATTTTGTCGCGGAAAAAGATCCCTCGTACATCGTGCTCTTTTGTTTAGCCCAAACAGACAATCAGAACTTTAGACATGCATTGTTGACATTTCTATGTTCTCAGGCAGCGTTGAGAACAGTTGAGAACAACACAAATACATTTCATTTATGTGTAAAGCGGCTTCATCCCAAAAGCAAAAAACAAAGGGAATCATGGAGCCATATTTATCCAGCATTGCCCCCCGGTGCTCTGAAGACCGACATGTAAAAGAGGCAATTCAAAGTACAAACACAGCCTAAAATCATACTGGACAAAAATTAGTTGTATCCTGACTGATGTATAGCGGGCATAGACCAATCTGTACCTCGGTAGGCTCTACTGGAGTCACCTCAGATATACGTGTAGCTGGCGTGTGGTCCACAACATTTGCAGGCAAAGCTGAAGAAAACAACTCCTACATCGCACCAGGGAGAGAGTGCAAGACCCAAGTAAGTTCAAATTTAGATACTGGATCGGGTCAAACATGTGGTGATTTTGACAGTGACCTCTCTTCAGCTGCATGCATGAGCAATTGGGCGATATGGCACATCATAAAGCACAATCAGAGGCGTCGAAACGGGAGGAAAACTTGCAAAAAATTGAAATGCCTTCTCGCAGCACAATTGATACGGCCAAACAGAATCCTGTTTCCCCCGCAGCAGAATTTCAGAATTCGATGTACGCACCAGCTGTTTCCTCTGCAGCTGAATTTCAGAATCCGGTTTACGCTTTTCAGACTGGTAGCTGTGATAGCATTCTCCGCAGTAAGGGAGACGGTTGTGGTAACAGTAGCGCACGTGCAGCTGCAGCTGAGACCAGGCGCACAGTCGCTGTAACCGTGGGTGATGACAACATTGAACCCGATCCACCAGATGAGCTTCAGGCTGATACCTGTGATGTCATTCAGGGGGAACATGATAATGACATTAACCCACGTGCAGCTGCAGC